ACTTGACACTTTGACCTTGCACCTTGTTGATTGTCATAGCAAATGCAAGACGGACAGGAAACTGGCGACACTTGAGAGAGATTGGGTTCTCTTCAGAACTGGATTCCATAGTGATGCAAGGAATTAGGACTGTGTTCCCATCAACCTGCTGATCTTCATCATCTCCATCCCTAAGAACACGGCACCTAAGGACACGGGTGGTCCAAGACAGGAGTATCATGCGAGTTCCATTATGGAGTCCCTACAAGGGGTTCAAATTGCGCAAAAGCATTAGAGGAACACCTGCTTTGACCTCCAATTTGTGCAAAGGGAAGCCTGATGGGGCGAGGGTATGAAGGAACTCTGGGGGAATATAATCATATTCTCTCTCTGTGACTGAGTCTGCACTGGTAAAGACTGCTTTTTCTCCAGGGAATGATTCGAGGATAGTGGCATTGATTTCATCCACATCAGTGTTCTTTGCAGAAAGAATGGTGCGATCCAGGAAGTATGAATTATTTAAGGGAGGACGATCAGGGAGCAGAATTTTTGAGTATAGGGCATTGATGAGAGACCGGAGATCATTATTGGGACACCGCATGCGGGCAGGGAGGGTCACAGTTCCATCTTTATTTGTGCCCCTACCAGCTCCAATCTCAAGAAGCCACCTTGCAAAATTATCAGAAGTGGGATCTTGACCAAGACACATATTTCTCTTGAGATGTAATATATGAAGCCTTGACCAAATGCGAGATCTGCAAAAGGTAGCGCCCACTATCTGCTCCCTGGATCCATGAGGCACCACTGGCAGGGTCTGTCTGAAGTCTCCTCCAAAGAGCATGGTTATTCCTCCAAAATCAGCATCAACATTCAGAAGATCACGTAATGTGCTCTCAAGGCATTCCAGGATGTGGTGGTGTAACATCAGAATTTCATCACAAATGATTAGGGAGGTGGCCTTGAGAAGCTCATGAAGAATGTCTCCTTTCTTTATGTTGCAAGAGCTGTCTTTGTGAATGGGAATAGGGATCTTGAATCACGAATGAGCTGTATGTCCACCTGGCAGGAGGAGAGAAGTGATTCTGGAGGAAGCCACACATAGGACGATCTTGCTTTCAGCACGGAGTTTTGAAGCAATGAGCTTGCAGAGATATGTCTTGCCACATCCACCTGCACTGTGGACAAAGTATGAATGTCCTGGTCTGCACTCATCCCGATGCATTGCATCATTGACCACCGCATCAAAGACCGCCCTCTGCTCTTCATTGAGAGAAGGAACTTTCTATCTACCACCTGCTGAAGCTCTTCTTGGTTGTACTGGAGCTGCTCAGCAATCAACTGGTTACCCTCCATGGCCCCCCATCTTGCTGCCATTTGAGAGACAGGCATGTGGGAAATGGCATCCAAAGACTTTCTATTTTTGTGAAGCACTCCATCGATGAGATAGAGACCACAGTCATAGACCTCCTCCTCAGTAGCATCTGGCATGTTAAATGGCATGCGAGTGAGACAATGGCACAGATCATCGCAGAGATTGTCCTTGAAGCGGTTCCAAAGGTCGTCAGGGCTTGTAGGGTTGCAGAAGAGGAGGATGATGGCAAATAGATTTTGTGTATGGTATCTAGTGCACATATGAGATGCATCCCGCAAGCACTGAATCCATTCATTATCATCATCTAGCAGACCCCTGAGCTGACATGCATCCTTGAAAGTCTCACAGACAACATCATCGACAGTCTGTAGGTGTTCATAGGAGGTAGCACCTTTGAACAAACACATTAAGTTTGATTCATACAAATCATCGCAGAAATCATACCTTTCACTACGGTCAAAAGCAATCTCAGATAAAATCTCTCTCCAGAGCCAGGGGCAGCAGAATACATTCTTCTAATTGCAACTCCATGCTGATGTATCTTCCAAGCAACTTTTTGCCACACAAACTTTGAGGGGAAATCCTGGTAGAGGAGATTGCGGGCTCCAGCTGCCACCATGTTTTCATCAGCATTGGCTTTGAACTATCCAGTGAGGTGAGTCTCCTTTGCTGCTACACGCTCAACAACATCCTCGGGATTATCCTCAGGATCATAGACAACCATGTGTTCACCTGGGAGGTGGACTGGCAAGCAGTGGACAGCAGGCCATTCAAGGTGCATCTCATTTTCCATGATGCGCCATGCAGCCTCAATTGAGCTAATATACCTGGAGTCAAGATATGATTTGACCTCATCCACTGGTCCTTCCATCTCCAAAGTCACATGGTCATGTCCTTTGTAGATGTACTTATGAATATACTTGACAGATTTGATTGAAGCGCAGACTTCCAAATTGATATGGCAGTTGAATTCGACCAGCAGTTCCAGAGGGTGAGGAATAACATCTTTATTGGTGAAGACATTGTTATTCTTTTGGATCGTGCGACCATTATCTGGTCTTGCATACTCTGGGTAGCCATCATCCTTCAAGGATGTCTGATCACAGAAAGACTTTAAAAAGTGCTTTTTGCACTGTCCATTCTCCAAGCAACACTCTGGACTGCATGAGCCATGAAGCATGTATTTTGATACAGCTTTGTAGAGTTGCAGGTAAACATCTCTATCTGGTATCTGAGCGGAGATGAAGGAGTTGACTTGCTCCATAGTCCTTATCTTATGATATGAGTTGAGGAAGATAAGCAGATGCATGTGAGGGAGACCACACTTCTGATATTCGATGGTGTACACCAATCCTGCAACTTTTCCATAGTAGCCCTTGCGAACCTTCTTCAAGAGTGCTTGTTGCTTTTGATAGAAGATGTGAGCCACCAAGTCTGGACGATCCACAGTGCTCTGACCTACATCAGCAATATTAGCAACAACATCATAAATCAATTGTTAAAATTTACCTGGAAGGAGGTTTTCAGTGAACTCAGGCCAACTCCCATTTGCAGTCATTGTTAGGAAGAGGTTGGGCTTCTTGCAGGCACAGCAAATGGCCAAGGAATCCTGAAGCAACTGGTGCATGTAGTGGGGGCTTCCAGTATGCGATGATGGCAGAATGATTGCGCGACCTGTCTGAGCCAGATCATCTGTGCCATCATTAAAGATGTTGTCTGCCAGGCCTCGGTAGCAGTCTGCCCTAAGCTTTTTTTGGTTCTTGGTGACCCAATTCAGATTGCTCTGTTCAATGGAAGCCCAAGCATAAACGACATACTGCTGGAACAGTCTTCCACCACGAAAGATGTTGTTGTTATTGATATGGATGGGGTAGGGGTGAAGACAGAAGGCATAGTATAACAGCTGGGTCACTTCTTTTGAACGTGTACATCCGCCTTGAGGGATGTTGAGAGGTATTCCAAGGTGCCAGCCCTCCTCGCCAGAAGGAAAGAGAAGGACATAGTGAAGGGTCAAGTATGCATGGCTGAGCTGACTGATGCGTCGCAGCTGACCACCTTGAAGTCGCAAGACAATATCTCATTTGTCAGATACCTCCTCAGATCCATCTCCAGGAATGATCACAGCAATTTCATCAGCAGTGGGAAGATTATATCTTCGACCATCTGTGCCCTGCTGAAAGTGAATGCGTGCACGAACTTCTGTGTGCTGCTCTGGATGCTTCTCACTCATAACTTGATAGGCCTGCTTATAAAGAGCCACATATGGATGACTCCGATAGATCATATCATGGGGCTCTCTGAGAATACGACGATCAAGGCCCTCATTTCCTGGTCAGTTGGCACGGATGTCAGTGGCACGTTGAAGGTTCAACGATACAGCGAGGCACGAACAATGCTCCTGACTGTATCTATAATTGTTGTAAGGTCGCGCGTTGCCTAGTCTGCTATACTTGAGACGACAAGTGCGTTCGACCCTAAAGGGGAAGCGAGTGCAGCAAGGATCTAGAGGTATGCGCTGAAAGCGCTACTGGTTGGCCAATGCGAAGCGCGGGAAAGCGCAGGTGCGCGCGAGGCGCGAGAATGCGCGAAGTGCGGGAATGCGCGCGCGTGTATGCGGAAACAAGAGAGAGTAAGAGTGAGTTTGCTTAAGTGATGATATGATGTAAGACAAGAGAAGAGAGATGCGAGGTGTAAACAAATAGATTTCTACTATGTTCTGCTAGGTGAATAGTGGGTAGTAACCAGTAAGTCCTCTGTCGTTCTGGTGGGAGAGTAAGTGAGTAAGTAAGTATGTACTGCTGGCGCTTAAGTATGGCGCCTAAGCGCTGTCATGCGGAGCCGAAGCGCTACCGAGTAAGGTATGTAAAGATATATGTAAGTAAGGGTCCATGATAAAAATAAAGATGGAACGATATGCAAATGTGAGAAATGGAAATATACGCACTAGGGAACTTGGTGGACAGTGGATGGATGCTTCTGGATGGCTGGCGCTATAGGGCGCTACAGCGTGGGAAAGCGCGCGCGCATATACATCGTGAAGCGCGGGAAAGGTACGCGCGCATGGCGCGCGTTGCGCGGGAAAGCTGCGCCTCATATAGAGATAGCTGCAGGTAGCACACAGAGTGATGCTACAAGTTCGTGCCATGTACTCCCCAGTGAAAACTGCCATATTGCACAATGAGAGGCATGAGTCTCTACAACGTTCAGGATCATAAATGTAGATTTGAGTGTATGAAGGCCGAATACCTTCAGGGGGAATCAGGCTGCCCATAAGGTGGTGAAGAGATCCATGGATATGAAAAGAATTTGGGCCAGAGCCTTGAAGGGCCCTATCCTCGATGGTGACGCCTATGGATGTGAATGCAAGAGCACTGTTGTACTGGTGAATCTTGGAGACAAATGTTCTGTCTCCATATGCCTGTTGCAGCTCAAGTGGCCATGCTGGAAAGGGAGGAAGGTCAACTTTTCCCTCCAAGCAGCACATACCAAACTGTGGATTTTGTGCAGATGATTTCATGAGTCTTTCACATGCAAAATGCATGGCATGGCAGTTGGGGCACTCCACATTAAGAGGACCAAGAGTGTGGCGATTGATGGGCTCTGTGTATGGTTGAGCTCCATCTGGGATAGGGACATTTCGGACAGGTGCCTAGTTGATATATTCATCATCCTCTGCATCGTGCTGCTGGCGACGTTCTTGCTCTTGAGTTCTTCTTCTTTCCTCGTCATCTTCATGCTGCTGCTGAGAAGCAGGATTATCATATTTGCGCAATGCCTCTTTAAGACGCTCCTGTTGCTTACGATTCCTCTGCTCCTGGCAATGTTGTCCCTCTTCTGCCTGTTGACCTGCTCGCTGAATATCCTGAGCCTGTCTATCAGCCCGCTCAGCTTCCTCCTGCTGTATGTGATGAACCTCCTGATCTTGTCTATTACGCCTCTCAGCTTCCTGCTGCTGCAAGTAAAAGGCCTCCAAGTTTTCTTGAGCTTGTCTATGGATGCGATTAGCTTTCTGCTGCTGGAATTGCTGCTGGATCTGCTGTTGATGGAATGTCTCCTGTGCTTGTCTCTGAAGTAATTCATCTCTAATCTGCTCATTTTCCATCCACTCCTCTTCAAAACGATGCTGAAACTGAACATTAAATTGATGATAATTATGTTCAGGAGGTGCAGGTGGTGCAGGATTGGCTGCAAAGTAATGGAGGGGATTTCCAAAGTTGTGAGGACCAACTGCACCCTCATAATGAATAAGGCCATACATAGGATTAGGAGCAGCAGCAGGAACAGGAGGAGCAGGTTCATTATGAATGTGAGGCACCTGTGGATGCTGCATTCCAGCTGCCATGAGCTCTGCCTGTGCCTGCTGGCTTATCTCATCTCTATCCTGTGGACATCAGAGATTCTGCTGACGGTGTCTGTTGTTTCCAGCTGCATTCATTTGCTCATTCAAGCACGCATTATAATCAACAGGAGGAAGATGATGAGGACGCTCCATATGTGCAATGGCATTTCGTGGCAAGCCAGGATACCACTCAACTGGTAGCAGTTGATATGGGAAGTATGCAGGGGGTTGCCATGCAAAAGGTTGTAGAACAGGGCCCGGTTGTGGCTCATTGGCTGGCATAAAATTTGGCTGTGGTATAGCAGGCAGTGGTCTGTCTTGATTGTCATGAGCAGCATGGTGACAATTATGCCTGGCAGGTGAAGTCATTTGAAGTCGATCAAGTCTATCACGTTCTCATTGTGACTGACGATCATGCTCGGGGGTTATCTGTTCATCTCTAAAAATGATGATTAGCATCATGTAGCAATATATATCATCAATAGTCAGTGACTCACTGAATAGGGATATTTTGAGCCATCTTTGTTATGTTATTATATTCAAATGGTTGTTTAGCAAGTGCAAAACTTTGAGTTGCCTAAACTCATTAATAAGCCAAACAATTTATCATTGTTGATAAGAAATGACACCCACAACAAGTGTATTGCACTTTATTACACTTGGCTGCAGGGGAAGGCAATTTAACTTGAGAATTCTAATCAAAAGCAGCAGCCAAGTTGTGTAATGATTTGTGTCACCAATGTAACCACAATTTTGTGTAACCAAATTGTGTAACCAATGTAACCAAATTTCTATTATTGCTTTTGTTATTCTCAATGCCTTTCCCCCATGGTAGGAAAAGTGAGTTGTTTGTCCCTATTGTACCTGTGGTGCAGTAAGCGTGAGGATTACTGTCCACTATATCGCATTTCAGACTCCATAGAATTTTGCTTGTTGAAAATCTCATTTTGGAAGTCTTTTTCACACAGTCACATGGTGAGTTGCCAAATCGAGCTCTAAGCGAGCTAAGCACTCCCATGTGGCCTTTAGCGAAATAGGCAAAAGCCACGCGAGCGCCCATGCATTTCCGAAAACCGTCGTACTTTACTTCTTAGATGAGCGAATATTTGAGGCATGTTCTTATAGAAAAAAATGTGATGTTTCACAGGTTTCAAACCTGTTGTGCTCCAATAGAAACAGATTTGGATTCTGTTACATACAACTACCACTTGGCTAAATACAGCTCTGATCAGCTTGCAAGCTGACCAACCATAAGCATATGTCAAGGTGTGCCTTCATAGAATAAGAATAAAAATGTTATCATTGGCAGGTTTCAAACCTGCACTGTTCCAGAGAAACAGATTTTGACTGTGGTGATCACTTGATATTTTCATCTTTAGCGGGTTTTGAACCCATGCAGACAGATTTAGATTCTGTCATATCAACTGCTTGGCTAAGACCAGTTAGATTCCTGTCCAATGAACCCATTCAGAAGTGAGTACTCAAGGTATATTTATCTGCATTTTTTCAGCTCTTTCAATAGCATGGTCAGTGTTGATTTTTTATCCTACTCTTATTGAAAAGACACAGACTTCCTGCTGGGGCTCTTGACTTCAAGACCTGTTTGTCTAACAATTTCCCTGAAAAAGTGCTGATGGAAGACCATCACAGTGGTCCATGAGTGAAAACTGACAATGAAAGGATCACACAGTGTATTTTTGACACAGAGTTTAATATATGACCAAAGTCTTAATGTGAACTTGAAAGGATAAGTAAAATAACAATATAATTCTTTCTAAAGGTCTTGACTTGGTTGAAGAAGAAAAAGAGCAGATTACACATCAAACTTTCAAGTTTGATCCTAATAACCTGGGGAATTAGTAAAAATACAAATCTATTAAGGCTGAGGTTCTTTATTTTGTTTATTCAAGTGATTGCCAGAGTCAAAATATATTTCTCTTGAACTAAGCAGGTTTGTAATCTGTATAATGACGTGTATTTTGCATTAACTCATGATTCGTCACATTCCACCATTTTGGATTTCATAGAATGAAAATGTTGTTATTGGTGGATTTTAAACCTGCACAGTTGAAGAGAAACAGATTTTAAATCTGGTGACAACTTGACGAAGACCAATGAAGATCAATGGCTGAGATGCTGTCTATGAGCAAATATTCAAGTCACACATTCTTAGAGAAAAAATGCAACATTCAACAAGTTTCAAACTTGTTACACTCTGATGGAAATAGATTTTGATTCTGTTATGACAGCCACTTAGCTAAACATGACTGTGATCAGCTTGCAAGCAAACCGACCATGAGCAGACTTCAAGGTGTGTTTTTGTAAAATAAATTGTATGACTCAGTGGCAGGTTTCAAACCTGCACAGTGCAAGAGACACAGATTTTGACTCTAATGATCACTTGGCAAATTCATCTTTAGCAGGTTTTGAACCCACACAGACAGATTTAGATTCTGTCATATCAACTGCTTGGCTAAAACCAGTTAGATGTGCTCCCAATGAACCCATTCAGAAGCGACTCACATACTTTTGCCTATTGGCTGCACTTCTGACTTGCTTCCACGCGCTGAGAACACAATTAGAATTACTTACATAGCACCATGTATATTTCGACTTTGAACAACCCTCCTGTTACGGTCAACTCACACCCCCACTTTTGACTATAGAACCGGACTATGGACTATGGAGGTTAAGACCACAAAGAGGGTCATCACGTTCCAGTACATTTGTCATGTCATCACTAAATCCACTTATCACGTTAGCAACCAATATTGTCCCCATGCATAGCCCTTATCTTTGGACCTTACCATCTTCTTGTACTTCTACCTTGATAGTGCATCCTATGCCTTCCTTTCTTAGCTTGGTCTGTGCGCTCCATACGGACTATTTAAGCACAGTAGTGACTGATTGTATTCCTCACTTTAATCTACTGGGTTTTACCTGGAACTCGTCCTTTAGCAAGGTCTCCAACCTTGCTATCTAAGAAACACTATTCTAAGGGAGTTGCCTACACTTGCCTTAGCCAGAAACCCCTTGACCTCTCTTTAGAGAGAAGAACCACGTCTGTCTTGCTCATAGCAGATTGTCCATTCGGACTTAGACAGCTCGACTTATCCCAGTCGTAACACCTCCACCACCATCTTGCTATAACTGCTATTTGACACTGAGCGCTCAAAAGCACCTAAGTGCAGAATGTTGCACTGTTGTCTAAATACTTCTGCTTTATCTCAGAACTTCCTCAGGTCATTAGAATCAAACTGGAAAGTTTGATGTGTAATCTGCTCTTTTTCTTCAATCAAGTCAAGATCTTTGGAGAGAATTAAATCATTCTTGTACTTATCATTCCGAGTTTGCATCAAGACTTTGGTCATACATTGAACTTTTGTGCCTTGAGGGTTCACTTCTGAATGAGTTCATTGGAAGTGCATCTCACTGGTCTTAGCACCTGAGACAAAGCCAACAAAGTGCTATTGGCAGATGCAATACATATCCTGAGAAAAATTGTACCTCCATTGAACCATTTCTTTATTGTGCAGATAGCGGACAATTTTATAATAAAACCATGAGCGTGCATAAGGATCAATTGTTTGAACTAAATTCAAACTATGTTAGCTAAGCATAAGGAAAATTGGTCCAAGAATCTGGATACGTCGCAGATTGACTTAATTTGCTAAATGTGTAGATGGCTGTGAAATTGCCTCAGATGTTGCAACTGGCTGTGCATATTACGTATGATATATTTGAGGGAAGATTTAGGAACAAATCACATATCAGGCGTGAAATCTGCCTCAGTAATTCACCCGAAATCAAATTCATAATTGTATTATTATATACTGAGACAACAAATTCAAAACCAATTTAAAAATATGTCACAAAATATGTACTAGTGGGGTGCTGAGTTCCCTGCCTATTGCCCTACTAGTACTAACAACAATATTACCATGTTACCATATTGCAAAAAACAATGTTAAAGAAAACCGATGCCAACAAGGTTTCATTCCCTAAGTTTGATTCAGCAGCCACTCGCTGCTTGCTAACCGGGCGTGGGATAGTGGCAATACCCAGGCTGAGTTCTATTCACTATATAGGCCTCTAAACCTTATACGATTGTTTTTCTTCTTTTCCCTCATCGTCTAGTACTTTCATTACACAAAATTGTACTATAGGACTTACAGACTTTATGTAGATGTTTAGTATTGTTAGTACTAGTGATCAATATACAGTTATTGTTGTAGATTGTAACAAAAAAATGCTTGCCATTACGTTCTCTCCGGGCTTCCATCGGGAATGGTTCATCATAATTGGCAAGCACAAACTAGACAATGTACGTGTACAATTTAGATAATACATTCAATGTAATGACTTATTTTACAGTGTTGCATCGAATCCTCCTGGCATTGTTGTAGGGTATACTACTTCGCCTTCGGGAGTTACATCATGTAAACTAAATTTAAGCTATGTGCTCTCACCTGCATCAACAATCGGTTCTACTGACTTCAGGTTTGCACTCAGTGTATTTCTGATTGACCGCAGTCCCTTAGCCACACAGTTCACGATGCCTCGTGCTACTGCAGGAGGTATGATATACTCATTTGTTGTTTGAACCTAATAACATATCAACCAACCATACAGATAGCTGAGGTCAATGTTCGGCCTTACTATTGTCTCGCCCTCCCTGGGCTGAGCGTAATCTGCGCTCCGGTAGTGTGGTATCATGCCATGTATATCAATCCCCAGCATGGCAGCGCGGAGTGCTATGTTCACGCGCTTGCATAGCTGTTCGGTGCGCAGGTCATCTGTTTTAAAGTGATGTCATAAATACTTATCCACAGTTTTCTGCAGGCCGCGAATGAGTTTGGTCCTTTTAGTGCAGTAGTTCTCGCAGCTCTCGGTGTGCGCCCTATTGCCAGCTGCAACGACAGGGAGGGGTCCAGTCTCTCACTCACGTAAGCCGTGAGATGTACCAGCATAGTTGCTGTGCTAACCTCTTTATCTGCCATAATGGTGTCCGTACATCCATATGTCCTGTTGGAAATGATGGGCAGGTCAATCTCCATATCTGATCCCATTTGCATCTTCTAACATGTTTAAATTATCACGAATTATAGGTAATTGATTGGCTCAACATCGTCACGACTCTCAACTCATTTTGATAAGATCTCCAGGATGATTGGATGCCCCATTCAAGGTCTTGACTGTCGTGTGTCGCCAATGACCTGATGGCGTGCGGGGACACTCGTTCATACGGTTTGAACCATGTAAGAGTGCTTTGTTTGCGGAGAGGTAATTTGGATTCCATGTTGTGTAGTAGCAACTTACTGACTTCGTGACTTAGAATTTGATCGAACAGTTTTGTTGCTGTATCCGACTCCGCAAAATGTCATGCTCTTGACAATAGTGTAACCGTATTGATGTACTTATTGTGAATGAGTGTTACGCAATTTCGTGGTAATTCTTGATCGAGTTCTATTTGAAATGTTCAGCGATGCCTTGGCTGTCTCCATGACAAGTGCAAACAATCGATCCTTGAAGTGTTAATTGTTGAATGGTAGTTTCCTCTGCATCTTGCAGATCCTCTTTGTGTCCCGTTTCTTTGGGTGACACTGAATACTCGAACACTTATATATCGCTAATCACTGCGACATAGATCAGATCCTCAATTATGGAAGTATGTATTCAATTCTACTGTGATGCTATGTTCGCTAATACCACATAGTTTTCCAACAATTTTACACTAACTCATCACACTAAGGCGGTCAATGTATTGGCTGTAAGCAAGCTCAGAGCATTGCTCCTCACCAGGGGTAGCTCGTCATTTTTGTTACTATACTTGTGCTGAAATTGCGTATAGGCAATGATGGTCGGGTTGTCCTGTGGAGCCTCGCATCAGGTGAAATGATTCAAGAAATATATTCACCAGTGGCAGGATATATCAGTGCAATTACCTGGACAGATATTGATGATCGCGGAGAAACCATGTTCGCATTTGGGGCATCTGACGGTAACATCCAAATGTATGAAAGAATCAATGATGTAAGTACATGATACGTGGTGCCATCGAGTTCGGCTTACACTTACCGTCATTATATTAGGCACTTTTTGAATTCCAGAGTACTACCATTGGTCACTCAGGCACTGATTGAGTCGCTTGCATGGGATCCCTATCATTGCAGACTGGCAAGTGTTGGTGACGGTCACCCGCAGGTTTGGAACCTGACACCAGACAGTTTGTAACCATTGTAGTGTTGTGTGTGTATTAATAAATACATTTTGTAGAGACATTCATGTTGGTGGTCTCGCAGCCCTAGAAGCAGGCATATGTTGCGCACACTGTTCACTTTTATGACAAGGTGCTTCTTTGTTGGTGTCATACCTGGAGAGCGGTGATGTGTTAGTCAACATTTCTTGATTCTGGTTCTTTATCTGACACATTCTCAGATTTTGTTATTCAATAGAGCCTTGGGATCTCAAATGGCACAAAAAAGTATCAAGCAGGATGTATGTCGGTTTTGACTCAACACTTGTACTTCCATTAACCAGCACGTTTCAGCGGCAATACCGCTCTCAATGGCAACTACTTGCTCGTGAGCAACCTCAAAGACGGGGTTGACAAATACACCATTCCCGCCCTTACACAGGGTGCAGTCCTTCAACCATGTAATCTTGCGCAATGTTCCTTTGCAAATTTCTGTTGCTCGACGGTCAGGGTTGCTATTTGTTGGCGGTGACGATGGTTTTGCTCAAATTTTTGATTACACCACAGGTGCATACTGTGGACAATTGGACCACAGTAATCATGGCGATTGCATCACACCTGTAGTAGTAAGTAACATTCTTCTCAGCGGTTGATGACGTAACTATAACAAGAGTTAGTCTCATGAAGGACACTCAAGGTGTGTTGTTGTCACCGGCACCTGCCTTAATGGGCACAGTAGTGTGAAAGTGTGGGGGGAGGGTGATGTGGTACGTTAAATCTGCTTGATTTATGGCCATTTCTAATTTGGATCAGATGTTAAAGGAGCATGCGACATCCCTTCCATCCTCATTCCCATTGACCACACTTCAATTGATTCAGATTTGCCATCATCTGCATTCTTGTGAACATTCTCATGCATGCCCTGCAATCAGGTGCCTTTTTCCACTCTTTACATGCTACTTCAACATGTACACATATCCCTGTTGTCTGGACGTAAGATCATACTTGACATCAGAGTTGCAGTGCAGAAACTGTATATATCCATACACTTCATTTTTGTGTACTTACTACTTATACTCGAATAAACTCGAATAAAGTCATATGCTTAGTCACACAATGCCCAAATTGGCATTCACTACAAATAGGTGCAGGTGCTTGTATCATGCTTTCCTTTCCTACTTTCATCATCCATTAGATATTAGTAGAGTAAGCGCTAGACTTGATTAAAACACTTGAGTAGTCAGTTGCGTACAAAATGCATAAGTGCCCATCTAGTACCCAAGCACATGGAAGACGTCATAAACGTAGCAAATCATCTCGTGAAAAATCTCAAGTAAGGCATTTACTAGGTGACGGTGTCGGTACTAACAATGCGCAAAGGTCGTGTCCTTTGTGAGTCTCGAGGCAGAAGTCGCCTCAGAGGACAAAGATTCGGAAGGTGAAGAAGATGACGATGGTGAAGTTTGCTGGTTGCCTTATCATACACTGTCTGATTCCTCTTCATGCAGATCGATTGTTTGTCAGTCTCAGACAACAACATTGTAGACGATGAGTCTGATGACAATGTCATGCATCCTTCGTCCTCATTGAAGGATGTTGGTGCTTGGGACATCTTTCGGGAACACCTAACGACCAACATGTCGTTCGAGGAAATGCTAGAAAAGTTGCGTGCTGTTAAGAACGTGCTCAAGGGTTGGATCCAAAGGGCTTGGCTTCAGCTCGTGTGCTGTGCCCCTTACCCGAGTACGTGCCCCTAACTTCCGAGGGCTGTTGGATGATGTCTGAACTAGAAAGGAAACAGCAGAGGACTACCAGAGGTAGAGGCAGAGGTGAGAAGTCTATAGGAGTTGATCCTAAAACTAGCAGAGGACGACGAGAGGAGAAACTCAAGTCAGACGGAGGAGGGAATGAGCAGAGTCTAAGATAATATTTGAACTGAGGAAATACAAAGATTCTACAGGGTTTATATACTATCGAGGACTTAACGGAGAATCAGTCTGTGCAGTCCGAAGCTATGTGAGGCTGTGGGTGGAGTGTATAGAAAAGTCAAACACTAGTCTATCGGAAAATAGTAAATGAAGATGGAGATGAGAACATAGGAAAATAAAGGCGGAAATGAAACGAGGTATGGAAAATGAGTATAGTCTAACTGGAGAAGGAACGTACAAAGGGATAAGGCATGGAAGATAGACTGCGGTTTGGATCTGGACGATAGATAGAAGTCAGCTGGATCCGGAAGTCCGGAAATGATGTGTGTGATAGGTCCGGGTCTGGAATGCAGGATATGACAGTATCCCCCCCTTAGGGCCGAGCCCATGAGGCTTTTGATCCAGAAGTCTGGACCGGACTTCTATGAATGTGGGATGATGGGCGGAGCTCGTAAAAATAGAACTGGACATATAAGTAGGCCAGGGCGCCCATGGGACATCTAAAACTTTCCCCCTAACTCCTATTACTGCTTTAACATGTCTAACTCCACTTCCGGCAACACAAAGTCCGCCTGGCAACTCCTCCAAGAGAGGCAGGCAGAAATGGCGGCCGAAATCATGCGACTCGAGGCAGACACTCAGAGAGAGGCAGAGGAGGAGGAACACAAGCACAAGGAGGCGGAAGAGGAGTGGAAACGGATGGAGGAACAGAAGCGGAAGGATATTGAGGAGACTTGGAAAAGGTTGGCTGAGCGCAAGCAGGAGCATTTGGCAAAGGTTAGGATGGGCAACAGCGTCGGAGGTGAGTCGGATGAGGTTTTTTGTGTTTTTCCGGAGTTCAACAAAATGTTAGTCCTCCGGTCCAGCAGACCCAGAGGTCGCATGTGAGATGTGCATCCTTAGGTGCAAGATTTGCACCTGGGCAGTAGCAGTCTAAGATGCCTAGGGATGAGTTTTCTGTTTTGTCCGGATCCAGATGATTACTGATGATTCCGAAAGATCCAGACTTGTGACCAGTGCCGCACGTCCAAGGAAAAGTGCGTTGGCGGAAATCCGCCTGTCAAGGCGCCAGCCAGCAAAGGCAAAGGCAAGAAACACGTGCGTCCGGAGGGATCTCCGTCCCCAAAGGGCAAGGGCAAAAGACATCAGTGCAGTCCAGAGGACATTGACAACAATGTGGAAATAGTTTCCAATCCCCGGACGGTCATTGGGGAGGATCAAGACTGGGCGGAGTATGATGACCAGGCCTGGGTTGCAGCCGCCAACAACATTGTGGCGGAACTGGCCTGGACCAATGGGCTGATGGAGAGAGGTGTTGCAGTGGTGGAAGGAAGTAGGGCTGCGATGGACCGGGTAAGTGAAAACATGCTCTGGTTCATGGAGGAGCAGAGGGTGTTTCAGGCTCTCTTCATGGAGAGTCTGAGGAACGGTTTCTGGATGCATGTGGAGGATGCTCCGGAGGAGGAAAATGGGGAGGAGGCGGAAAAGGAGGCCGGCAGATCCGGCGGAGACATGGAGATGGATTCTTAGGTCGTCAGATCTGAAGTCCGGAATGTCGGACACTTAAATAATGTACATATATGCATGTCCCTCTTACTCTTTGTTAGAAGTTGGTCCTGGCTTATCCAGATATGCCGAGTGGAAATCCGATAGAAGTTCCAGCGCATTTGCGAGTTCGGTTGTGAGTATCCAGGAAGTTTCTTTGTCTGTTCCCTCATATCCGGCCCAACGTACTAAGTATAGTAGTTGGCAATGACGTCTCCGGCAGTCGATCTTTGAGTCCAGAATTTCGGAGATTTCATATTCCAGTTCTCCGTCGACTAATACCGGAGGCGGAGGAGGTTGGATGTGATTGTTACAAGTAACATTGGTCACATGGCCCCCCTATCATTTTCCCTTCATCCTCGCCCTCACCATCTACCCACTCGTCCTCCTTTACCAACTTTCCGTTGACCGGATCCTTGGGACCGTTCCCATCCCTCACATTGCCCGCCTCTATGCACGTGCACGCACATTCATCCTCTGACTCAACCACCAATGTGGTCCCACACCTATGACTCAGTCTGACTCATGCCACCAATGTGGCTTCCCTTTCCTGTTCTCTTCTGACTGCGGATTCGCGCACGTTGTATTCTTACTGTTGGACCATTCCAATGTTTCTCGGTCTCATTCCACATTCGACCATCCATCACTAATCCGGCTCTGTTGCCAACGCACCTATACCATTCTCATTTCCCCTTTACCCCTACCTACTGTGCGGTAGCCTTGCCCTTAACCCTCTCCACTTAGTATAAGTAGTCGGTCACCCTGTACTAAATTCTCTAACTTGAATCTACTCAATCTTCCCTGGAACATACTCTTCTCTGAACGCCCCTTTGGCTTCAGTCTCTAGTATCTTTTCTTAGTTGCTCATCGCGACTAAGTCTACTTCGATCGACACTCATCGTTCAGACAAGACTGTCCTTACTTTGAGCCTGGTGACTTCACAGACATCCGTCTCAGAAGTCATGTGACACGTGCGTCAGTGATCACTGCTGACTCGTCGTCGCCAGTCTCACTCGCCATACCGAATCCTTCCGGTTATGTCAACGACTGTTAGCGGACGACGCCCCTCTTAGGGCTCCGCATAACAGACCTATTTGAGTGCGTAACAGCAATTAGGAATGGTGTTCGGAGTTGCGGGTTCTAACTGAGAGACGTGGAATACGGGGTGCACGGATCGCATGGCGTCCGGAAAACTGGATGGTGAAGGAGTGAGTGCCTGGGACGAGTGATGATGTCGAATGGACCGAGATTTTTTTCTGAGAGCTTCTTTGATGGTCAGGTCGAGTGGAAATATTTTGCTTTAACGAAGACCTGATCTCCGACTTTGAAGTCCAGAGCGGGTTTCTGTCTAGCATCCGCAGGTCCTTGATATTGTGCTTGGGCATGGGACATTTTTTCTTGGAGGAATTGGTGAAGCTCATCTAAATCTATAGCATAATCCCTGGGCACAGGCGGAGGAAAAGATCACGCTCCGGATGTATGGAAATGTTCGGGTGATAACCCTTATTGGCAAAGAATGGTGAAACTCTGGTGGTAGCACTCAGAGCATTGTTGTACGCAAACTCGGCCAAGGGTAACAGTTCCGACCAATTATCCTGCTGATAGTTGCAGTAGATCCGGAGGTATTGTTCTAGGGTTTGGTTAGCTTGCTCGGTTTGTCCATCACCTTCCGGATGATATCTGGAGGATATCCGGAGGTAAAATGCAAGATCATGTCAAGTGCTTTTCTGAGCGACCAGAAGAAGTGGGATACAAATTCCGTACCACGATTGGAGGTGACATGGGACGGAACTTCGTGCTTAGAAAACACATGGAGGAGGAACAACCGGGCGAGCTCCGGAGAGGTGATGGTGTCGTAGGTTGGGATTGCTTGGATAGTCGATCTATGACTACCAGGATGGCGGTGAATCCAGAGGAATCAGGGAGTTGTTCGATGAAGTCCATGGATATCGAATTCCACGGCTTCTCGGGGATGGGGAGTTGCTTCAACAATCCGTATGGTTTATGCCTCGGAACTTTGGCTCGGTGTAGCACTCGAGCTCGCGCTGAGCATGTATTCAGCTATTTTCCCATGCATGTCAAACACACGAATCACTTCCAATGTTATCCGACACTCATCCGCTCAATCCAATGTTTATCCGCTAAACCCGACGCTAACCCGCTAAACCCGACGCTAATCCGACGGACCCGACATTTCCCGCGCATCGGACCCGATATTTTCCCGCGCACTTGTCCTCCCTATGTCTTGTCCTGTCGTATCTATCCCCACTAGGTGCGCAGTTATTCATTTTCATGTCGCTAACATTGTAGAATGTGTTATTACATGTCCGCAGTACATCGTGTCTTATTACATAGGACATCGGACCCAAAAATCAGCACTACTACTTTCGCCTATAGCACTCCGAAATTCTATATAGATACTATATATTTCGCATACCTCCTACCTATTTACTTTACCTTTCTACCTCCGAGTAGGAGGAGGTCATCCGATATTCGTAGTTCTTAGTTGGATTCCGCAATATCATCCATTCTTTATCCGAAACATCTGACAGTAACCCACCATTTGCTATCCCCGACATTTACTATATTCCCAATGCAAACCCGACTGCTAACCCGACGCAACCCGACGCAAACCCGCTAACCCGAAACCCGAAAACATCGGACCCGACGTTTTTGACATCAGGACTCATAATTATACCTTCAGACTTTGTTTCCCATGCTTCGGACTATCTTCCTTTTGATATAACTGATTATTCTAATACCAACAGCAAGCCCCTCGGGTCGAATGCACTTGTCTTGCAAGTATAAGCAGACTAGGCTGTGCACGACCACAACATTTTTTATATTGCTGGCTACTTACTTTGTGTAGTGCCCAGCAATTGTTGTATCTCTACATCAGGCACAGGTCATGCAAGACTTAACATAGTCCTTGACATATGCGCGGATTCCGGGCCAGGTATATTCCTGACGGATAACTTCCAGGGTCCGGTTCTGACCGAAATGTCCGGATAGCGGGTGGTCGTGCGTATTCCGGAGCACTCGGAGACAGAGGTCATTGGATTCTGGAACGTCTATATGGTTGTCGCAACAGAGGAAACCACTCTCGTCTACTGTCCATCTCAGGTCCGACGGACCTGGAAGATGACTAGAAGCGATAGGGTCATTAGGGAGGGCGGACAGAATGTCCTTATGAAGCTGCTCGACATCCATTAGTACAGCCGCCCAGAGCACCGTAATTGCTAGGTGTGATGCCCGGAGGGATGAAGCGAGCTGTTCTGTGGTAAATATCGGCCGGAGGTTGTGTGGATTAACTTGAGCATAGTCCTTATCCCCCTCTTTGGGGTAGACGTCCCAACGTCTAGTTAGGCAGTCAGGCTTAGCTCCGAGTTTTCCGGGTTGGAAACGGATAATGAGGTTGAACTGATGGAGGTATTCCGACCAGCGGGCCTAGTGGTGGGTGAGGAGTTTTGTTGTAGCAAAGTACTCAAGGTTCTTGTGGTCCGTGACAATGTCTATTGGCTCGGCAGAGCCTTCAAGGTAGTGTCGCCAGGACCGGAAAGCTTCGTAGATAGCTAGGAGTTCTTTATCATGAGTGTCATAGTTGAGTTCCGGAGCCGAAAGGGTTCGGGAGTAAAAGGCAACCAGGCGGAGCTCCTGGTCCGGACATACTATAGAAAGTATTCCGGTGATAGCATAGTCAGAAGCGTCCGTCTCAACGACTGATAGGAACATCTGGCATCCAGTGCGTAAGCACCGGAGCGGTAGTGAAGGCTTTCTTGAGAGTTTCGAAAGATTTCCAGCAATCCTCGGAGAAATTCCAGGGAGCATCCTTGCGAGTGAGCCGCGTAAGCGGAACTACAATATCCAAGTAGTTAAAAATGAAGTGACAATAGAAATTGGCGAACCTGAGGAACGATTGAATATCCTTAACTTTCTGGGGTTCCGGCCAGTCACAGATAGTCTGGACTTTGTCTGAAGACATGGTAAGGCCGGCTGGAGATAGGAGGTAGCTGAGGTATTCTACTGGAGTCGGAATGGAATTCGCACTTCTCCGGTTTAGCATATAGATGATGCTTCTGGAGGCGTCGGAGAACTTCAAGGACGTGTTGTTTGTGGGATGCAAGGTCTGCGGAATAAATGAGGATGTTGTCGAGGTACACAATAACGCATATGTCAAGCATGTCGGCGAAGATGGTATTGACAAAGCGTTGGAAAGCTGCCGGAGCATTGGTGAGACCCTTGGGCATAACCAACCATTCATATGAGCCATAGCGCGTTCGGAAAGCAGTTTTCCACTCAGTCTCCTTCCGCCATCCGGACTAGATGGTAAGCGGACCAGAGGTTGATTTTAGTGTAAACTTTTGTGCTGGCTCGGAGAATCGAGAAGGTCAGAAATGAGGGGAAGCGGGTAGCGGTCTTTCTTTGTGATTTATTAAGGCCTCGGAAATCTACACAGAGGCATAGGGAGCCAGTCCTTCTTTTTGATGAACAGGACAGGGGCTCCATGCGGAGAGGATGAGGAACGGAGAAGTCCGGTCGCAATATTCTCATCAAGGAATTTGCTGAAGATCTACAAGCTCAACCAGAGAAAGGGAATAGATGGTGCCAAGGGGCAGAGCCACTCCTTCCAAATCGATCTTAAGATCATAGGGATGATGGGGAGGGAGCTGTCCGGCTTTGCCTTTATCAAAGACATCCGCATACTCGTGATATTCCAAAGGGATTCCAGATAGGTTCGGGGGTTTGGAGGAGAGTGTAGCGGAGCGGAGATTGACACCGGTGGGTCGGATGAAAATACTGAACTGTACCGATCCCTCTAACTTGCAGGCCCGGCAAAAGGCAACTGCATTGATCAGGGAAATATTGGGAATGGCGTTATCAGCGGAGGGACTCGGCGAGGTTATGGATGGGATTTCCGCCGGAGCCGGCAGAAGTGAGGTCAGAGGGGTCGGAGGCAGTCCATGAGGAATCGGATGGAAAATGATGCTGCCCTTTACCCAGTCAATCAATGGATTGTGTCGGGTGAGCCAGCTATATCCTAGAACAATGGAACAGGATGAGTCCAACGGAGTAACATAAAATGTTTCGGAGGTAACCATGCCGGTTGGAAAACGGATCGGTAAATCTACTGCCTTAGTAATCGTGGCATTAGAAGTACCATCAAACAAGTGAAGTGGAAGCGGAGGGATTGCATAGGTCAGAATGTTAGTTTCTCGGATTAGTCTGGTTTCTACAAAACAATGGGAAGAACCACAATCTACAAGAGCCGGAAACAGAGAGATATCGGGAAAAGTAGAAATGGAAATATTTGGCATAAGCGAGTTCGGATCAGAAAGAGAAACAGCATTGAGACATAGCTCCATTGCGCGGGTTGAGTCAATGCAACCCTCGTCCCGCGCGGAGTCAAGAGGGTTGCGGACTAATTTTTTGTCTCTTCCGAGACCTCCGGTTTGGCTTCCGGAATCACCATGCTGGCATGACCTTTGGCCACACGGGAAGTGGACTTTAGGCAGTCCTGGGCAGTATGACCAGGTCCGCTGCAGAAGAGGCAGAGCTTCTTTTCCATGCGCCTCTGGCGCTCCTTGGAGGTGAGTTTACTGTCTTTTCTGAGCTTGGACGTCAAGTCTGGAAGTTTGGTAGAGGAGGAAGCCAAAGTGTTTCCGGATTTTCTGCCGGAGTATTCTTTTCAGTCGGAGGTGGAAGCTGACTGCTTAGCAGGAGGGGTGGATGCAGAGGGTTTGGTTTCGCGGGAGACTTCTCCCTTGCGTTCCCAGTATTGAGCGTCGATAGTCTGGGTGTGTTACACACTCAAATAGATCTGTTATGCGGAGCCCTAAGAGGGGTGTCGTCCGCTAATGTTCGTGACGTAACCGGAAGGATCCGGTATAGCAAGTGAGACTGGCGACGACGAGTCGGCAGTGATCACAGTACGCGTGTGTCACGTGACTTCTAAGACAGGTGTCTATGAAGTCGCTCAAAGTAAGGACAGTCCTGTCCAAACGATGAGGTCGATTGAAGTAGACTTAGTCGCGATGAGCAACTAAGAAAAGATACTAGAGACTGAAGCCAAAGGGGCGTTCAGAGAGAAGTATGTTCCAGGGAAGATTGAGTAGATTCAAGTTAGAGAATCTAGTACAGGGTGACCGACTACTTATACTAAGTGGAGAGGGTTAAGGGCAAGGCTACCGCACTGTAGGTAGGGGTAAAGGGGAAATGAGAATGGTATAGGTGCGTTGGCAACAGAGCCGGATTAGTGATGGATGGTCGAATGTGGAATGAGACCGAGAAACATTGGAATGAACCAACGGTAAGAATACAACGTGCGGGAATCCGCAGTCAGAAGGGACAGAAAGGGAAAGCCACATTGGTGGCACGAGTCAGACTGAGTCATAGGTGCGGGACCACATTGGTGGTCGAATCAGGGAGGGATGTGCGTGCATGTGTGTAGAGGCGGGCGATGCGAGGGACGGGAACAGTCCCAAGGATCCGGTCAATGGAAAGTCGGTAAAGGAGGGCAAGCCGGTAGATGGTGAGGGCGAGGACGAAGGGAAAATGATAGGGGGGCCATGTGACCAATGTTACTTGTAACAGGGTGAGAGTTTTGTATTGGGAAAACGTAGTAGGTTTCCCTTGACGACTGATCTTGTCTTTGATGCGAGCCGGAAGTCCGTTGTAGAACTGACGGCGCAAAGCTCTGTCGCCCAACCTCGGACTTGGGAAGCTAGCCATTGGAACTCTACAACATACTTGTTGATGCGCTGTCCGTCGCGCATATAGAGCTGTTCCAGCTGCATTTCCGCATCTCCGACCGGGTCATGAGGTCCGAAGTTAGTTTGGAGTTCTAACATGAACTCGGAGTAGTCATCCATCCATTCCAGACGATCCACGAGATCATCCGAAAGGAGGTCTGGCTCAAACCATTCAAGGGCCATGCCCTTGAGGTATGATTGTGTGAAGTTGACCTTAGTGCGGCCGGTGCGGAAAGACTTTGGCTTAGCTTGGAAGTTAAGCTCACATTGGACAAAGAACACCCGGAGCTTCCGGGGCTCAGTGCCATCGAAGGTGTCCGGTTCTCGGACTTTGATTTTAGAGTCATCAGGGATGGCAGACCGGCGGTTGTTACGCGCCAGGTTATTGATTGCCTGAGACAGGTGGAGGAAGACTAAGTCTTGTGGACTGAGACCTTCGTTTTCATCGTCAGTTGGGTCTTCTGGAGGTTCATCATCCAGGTCACCTCCCCCGTCATCTGGCGGATCTCCGCCCGGAGTATCTTCGTTTTCCAGAAGGAATCTGGCTGGTGTGCGAGTTGGGGTTTCTGGGTGTGGACGATTCATGAGTTGAGAGATGCTGGATGCAGCGCCCTGCGCGCTAGCGCGACACTGTGAGAAGCTAGTGAATGCATCGACTATGGGAGTAGAGTCGCATCGGGCAGTTACTAAGCCCGCCACGTGGAGGTTGGTCTGAGTGGTTGTTGGTGCCATGAATTTAGTTGTAAGTATACTCGGTAAGGTGTGAGTTCGAATATACTGTTAAGAACGTGCTCAAGGGTCAGATCCGAAGGGCTTGGCTTCAGCTCATGCACTGTGCCCCTTACCTGAGTACGTGCCCCTAACTTCCGAGGGCTGTTGGACGATGTCCGAAGGTTGTCGGACGAGTCCGGAGTCCGATGTCCGATGTGCAGGAATTCCGGTGGACATTCGGGAACGAGGGATAAGACTAATCCGGACAATGTCCGAACTAGAAAGGAAACAGTGGAGGACTACCAGAGGTAGAGGCAGAGGTGAGAAGTCTATAGGAATCGATCCTAAGACTAGCAGAGGACAACGAGAGGAGAAACTCAAGTTGGACGGAGAAGGGAATGAGCAGAGTCTAAGATAATATTTAAACTGAGGAAGTACAAAGATTCTACAGGGTTTATATACTACTGAGGACTTAACAGAGAGTCAGTCTGCGCAGTCCGAAGCTATGCGAGGCTGTGGACAGAGCATATAGAAAAGTCAAACACTAGTCTATCGGAAAATAGTAAATGAAGACGGAGATGAAGACATAGGAAAATAAAGGCGGAAATGAAACAAGGTATGGAAAATGAGTATAGTCTAACTGGAGAAGGAACGTACAAAGGGATAAGGCATGGAAGATAGACGCGGTTCAGATCCGGACGATAGATAGAAGTCAGCCGGATCTGGAAGTCCGAAAATGATGTGTGTGATAGGTCCGGGTCCAGAACGCAGGATATGACAGATCCACAGATCCCCCACTCCAAACTCCTTCACCAGCGAGACATTTTATAATGCCCTCTGCCATCGAAAGTCATCTTGACCGGCTTGTTACACAGCGCCTTCTCGAACTGTCTCATAACGTGTTGATGCCGACTTTGAAGAATGCTATTGATGCCATGATTCCTTCCATGGTTGAATGGCTATCAGCCGATATGAGAAACGTCCCCATTGGTCTCCAGCGTCATACTCATAAGGAGTATTCTTCGTCCAATACTCAAGCAAGTGACAGTAATGATGATTTGACACCTCATCCCTGCCGGAAGCGCCCTGGTAAGAGAGGCCCAAAGAATCACTTGCATGTACGTATGTCAACATTTTGATTTGACCATGGTAACAAATTATATCAGCTCGCATTCCGCAGCTATTTACAAGAGAAGAAGCTACTCAAGGGTAAACATGGCTCACTGCCTCAATCTCCTCCAATCGAAACCATTCAAGCCTTCAATCACAATCACGACTGCTGTCCCACCCTACAAGACCTCTTCATTGACTGGAGTGACTCACTAAAGAAGTCTTCATGGAACACATAAGTAATCAACCTCGTAGTCGTAGACTTCCAAGCAAAGATCAGGAACGGCACCTATGCGCAAGTTCTTTTCCATGCGGAAGCCATGAGTCTCGACAATTTGCATTCATTGTGCATTGAAAAGCTACGCAGAACTCAATACCAATGTTGACAACGTGCACAGATCAGTAACTATATCAATCTCGACGAGATTAATCATGTGTCTCATCAATTGTTGACACGCAACGAGCGAAGGCAGCACTTAGATAGGTGTAACACTCGGAAACATGGGGTAGGCAGATAGTGTTTTATCCTGGTATCATCTGAATGCCTTTTTAGACTCTTGAGAGGCGTATAAAGATAGTGGCACAAAACCGACACCACAGCCCTGATACTTGGGACATGATCGAACATATTATCAATCGGTTAGATGTTGATGGTGTTAGTGGGGATGAAATGGACACGCCAATTGGGGCGACACCAAAGGTAGTAAGGTGAGTAAACCTTCCATGGCTCAATCCCGACATCACTCATTTACTCCATGCTGTGGAGTCATATGCTCCAGCAACTCATGAGGAAAATATGACCATTCCAATTGGAAACTCGTCTCTTCCACATATCTCGGAGCCGAAACACATGGCTCAAAATTCCATTGCCATCCAATGGCTTCCATGCAACTGGTATAATGACCACTGGTATAAAGCTAATTCCACCAGTGCCCGCGCTCTCTTAGGGGCTCGCAAGTCATTGATCATCCCAATGTTGGAGCCCTATGGTTCTCAGAAACACCCATAAACTACAATGTATGTCTATCTGTACGTACTCCCACCCACTTACATAGTGGACAAATACCGGAGAGTGGATTGCGGGAATGTCTGGCTGAGTTCCATTCATTGTATTCACTATATAAGCCTCCGAATGTTGTTCTTCAATTCTCTTGTCTGACTTGTCGTCTGCATCACATACCCGTTCCGTCATACCAACATTTGTATTAATAAATAAATATATTCAAATATCATGTTCCCTATACCCGTTTTACAGGTGTCTGCTGAGCCAACCGACAGTGACACCACTCCTGCAGAACTAAGGACGCCCAAGCTGCCGCTACGGACACTAGCACAGTCTACCACACAGGACTTGCAGCCAGTTCTCCCTATGAATGACACACCCATCAAATGTAGCTGTTCTACGATGCAACCTTACACAACCAATACACGCTGCCGAGATACCACTCTCAATGCCATGGGCAAGGAGATGAAGGGATGTTTGGTTGGTCCAATGCCGGTGGAACAATTTCTCAAGGAGTTCCTACCGCCTTCAGCGATCCCAAATTATGAACCTTTAACCTTCTCTGATGGCGCGTTCGAGAGCACACTCTCTGCTCTCCATGAGACGAAAGCTTATGAACCATTTGTAAGTGCTTCAACCATTATATTAAGATCGCTGCTAGTCTGACTCCGAGTGCAGATTGACACTATGTCATCTTTTGCCCCTGGTCTATCGTTTATCGACACCCACAACCATCCAGACACAACCAATTGCAAATCATTTACATTTCAAATCAAACCCGACATCTGTGTTTATGCTGATGGAACCTCGCCACCCTGCGCTAGACAATCATCCTGCGATGTCTCTGCTGCGGAAGTGATTATCGAATTCAAGTGGGATCCCCATCATAATCCATTCTATACGCCTGCAAGTGGCCCAAGTACTACAGCACACTTCATATCTGAAACTGACAAGGCCATGGACACACTGGGCCAAATAACGAGTTATACCGCAGCTCAGCTTGGCGCACAATACCGAACTCACGCATTCTCCATTCTGATCATATATGATCAAGCTCACATAATAAGATGGGATAGGGAGGGAGCTACCATTTCTTCTGCCATCTTCTACAATGAAGAACCACATCTAGCTGATTTTTTCCATCGTTACGCACAAGCATTGCCTGCATTGCGTGGTTTTGACACTTTGGTAATGCTTGCTAGTGCCGAGGAGGCTCACCTTGCAAGGCTGCAGTTAGGCCTTTCCACTACTAGACGCATGTTGAAAGTGGCTGTCCCTGATGTCGATGACACTGGCTCGATTACCTTGGTGTTTCCTGCACCTTCACCGGTCGGTCAATCCCCTATTGGCTGATGTACATGCGCATGTCCTGCGTACGATATTGACAATGACAGAGTTGTCATGTTCAAAGACTCTTGGTGGGTCACGATCACCGATGTCCTACCAGAAGGCGAGACATACAAAATATATATAAAAAACAATGTTTCCAACATTGCGTCATGCATTGCGTGTCACGACGTACCCTCTATCCCTCAACAAACCCTGCAGACTCACAAGTTCGCAGATGCTGTCTGGGCATGTTCACATGATGTGATCATTCCGCACATTCATTATCGCCTGGTCCTCAACATTGTGGGCAAACAGTTATGTGAATTTGCAAGCTCTCGCCAGCTCATTACAGCCGTTTGTGATGCATTAATTGGTACATATTTTTGCCACCTCACCCTCCCAAAAAGCATTATATTCATATTGCTACAGCTCACAAGGACGCATATCACAAGGCGGGCGTATTGCATCGGGACCTCAGTGCAGGAAACGTTGTCATCCACGATGGCAAGGGCATCCTCATTGATTGGGACCTATCAAAGTTAATTGACATCAAGGGTGCTCGGAAAGTAACGTGTACGGTTCGTTCATTCTGTGCCAAAGTTTGTTAGTATACTAAATCTGTTGAATCTGTTGTCAATAAGGGAACCTGGCAATTCATGTCTGCCCACCTGGTCGAAAATGAAGACGCCACACATGATGTCGAGGATGATCTAGAGTCTAGTCTCTATGTCGTCCTGTGGGTTGCCTTACTGTGGGCAAAGACTTACCTGACTGTCCCTGCGTGGTCATTACTCATGAAGCAGGTCTTCGAAGTTGATGAATTGAAGGGGGTTGGATCATCCACTAAATCGGCTTTTCTCAACTCGAGAACACAACTTAGGGGTGATGTGTTTATCGACTGCAAACTGCTCGACAGGCTCATTCTTGCACTTACCAAGCTCTTCGCACTTCGGTATATTGTGGTCACTCAGGAGCAGCAGGATGCTTATGATTAAACATGCGAGCACATGGAGAAGACAGACACCACTAACATGACCTTCATCATGAACCTCTTGAAGGTGAATCCTGCTTACAAGTTGAAGATGGACATGGAGATCTTGAAGTTGCACAACAGGATCATTGAAGTTTATGACTTTCACCTTCAATTAGAAGGCTGGCCTCAAGATCCTCCTGTGGAGCAAATTCTCACTTCCAACGGGAAGTTCCCCATGAAATGCCGTGTCTTCACGAAGTCACTATGTCCTTCACAGGTAAAATTAACGACATCTAGCAAGAGACGTAGAGTTGGGGATAATTAGCCATATGGGCATATTGCCTTGTGTTTGGTTTGGTGGCTGTCTCGATTACCTTGTGTTTTAGCCTTATGATACTTTTCAAATACTCGCTCTGTTGCATTGCATATCAATCTTGATTCATGACTCACATATGCGACATTGATTACTGCAACAGTAAGGCGCATATAAGTTACAGCCTGAATAGAAAAATCGGATGTCTTTTGCCCCAAATGCGATACCCACTTATACCCACTTAGATAACTTAAAAGCATTCATATAGGGTCACCATGTTCACAATATCGAGCCCTGTCTCATGATTTCATTGCCATTGACAAGTGCCTTGGCGGTGAAGGTTCAACGATACAGCGAGGCACGAACAATGCTCCTGACTGTATCTATATAATTGTTGTAAGGTCGTGCGTTGCCTAGTCTGCTATACTTGAGATGACAAGTGCGTTCGACCCTAAAGGGGAAGCGAGTGCAGCAAGGATCTAGAGGTATGCGCTGAAAGCGCTACTGGTTGGCCAATGCGAAGCGCGAGAAAGCGCAGGTGCGCGCAAGGCACGGGAATGCGCGCGTGTATGGCACGAAGCGTGGGAAAGCGTGCGTGTGTATACAGATACGAGAGAGAGTAAGAGTGAGTTTGCTTAAGTGATGATATGATGTAAGACAAGAGAAGAGAGATGCGAGGTGTAAACAAATAGATTTCTACTATGTTCTGCTAGGTGAATAGTGGGTAGTAACCAGTAAGTCCTCTGTCGTTCTGGTGGGAGAGTAAGTGAGTAAGTAAGTATGTACTGCTGGCGCTTAAGTATGGCGCCTAAGCGCTGTCATGCGGAGCCGAAGCGCTACCGAGTAAGGTATGTAAAGATATATGTAAGTAAGGGTCCATGATAAAAATAAAGATGGAACGATATGCAAATGTGAGAAATGGAAATATACGCACTAGGGAACTTGGTGGACAGTGGATGGATGCTTCTGGATGGCTGGCGCTATAGGGCGCTACAGCGTGGGAAAGCGCGCGCGCATATACATCGTGAAGCGCGGGAAAGGTACGCGCGCATGGCGCGCGTTGCGCGGGAAAGCTGCGCCTCATATAGAGATAGCTGCAGGTAGCACACAGAGTGATGCTACAAGTTCGTGCCATGTACTCCCCAGTGAAAACTGCCATATTGCACAATGAGAGGCATGAGTCTCTACAGCGGATCGAACGTGACGAAGGAGTTCGAACTTGTCGTCATTATTCAGCGGGTGCGTCTCCAATACATCTGCCATGATCTTGGACATGACTACCTTGTTCTGCAGGAGAGAACCAACTGTAACCAGGCACAAGAGGGACTTATAAAAGGGACAAAAGAGAAAATACATGCGAGAGGCTGGTAATTATAAGACCGATGCGCAACAATGTACAGGTGCCTCGCCAATAAAATCCTCTCTACTCCATAGGTTGGGGATTGTTCATACTACATTATTACTATATTACTACGTACAGCTAATCATGATGGAAAGAAAAAAGAAACAAAGCGAACATTTGAAGCTTAAGTAATGAATGGAACTCAGCTGTTGCCGGTCAGCCGGTCAACCACCTTTGTCAGCACCTTCCGGCAATTTCCAGTTCACTATTTAATCCTCTTTAGACCTTTCTGATTCTCTTTTTTTTTTACCATGCACTCAGTCATAGTTATGGCGCTTTTAGTATATTTGTGTTGGAGTGTCTTCGTCATAGTCGAGACTCCTGCTGACTTTTGGGTTGCTTGTCGCGATGCTAGTGTTTCATCTTGTGTCTTGTCCCTCACAATGTTCATAAGTAAGTTTCTACTGTATTCGCAAGTTAATGAACCATTGTAGTCTGTAGATTTACCCTATTGTCATCCCAAATGTTGATTAATTATGTTTAGTATTTATAATGCTCCCAAGCAGTTAGTCTATTGATTGTTGTTCTACTAAGTGAGTCTGGTAGCAAGACTTCCATCGAATGAATTGTCAATTTATAATCCACTCAGTCATTCACAATAAAGAGAAGGCATGCACCCTCCAATGCGGTCATTGCACTGTGCAATGCATCCCGGACAGATCACAATAAGACGGACTGGTATTGAAACAAGTGAGCAAGTTTGCCATTTTTACAGGATGGCGCTGATCATATAAATTGGATACTACATTGCAGCTATTCTTCATAAGCCTCATCCTGTCATGGGTATCTTTCAAAGTCAACCCTGCGCAAAGGTAATACCTCCTGTACGACATGTTTTGCAAGATACATGAATTTCTCTGCAGATTTTGTTAGGCATTGGAAATACAGATTCTCTGGCATCACTGGACTGCCTCTCATTGTTGCACTTCATGGAGGTATGTTTAAATAAATCAAGATCTCATTGCATATTACTCAATAGCTAATTGTTCTGCAGGAGCACGTTCCTTTGAAGCGAAAGGCTGTAGATCACTTTCTTGATGGTTGTGAGCGGCCCACTCACAAGAGACGTATGGACTGCCTTTCATTGTTGCACTCCCTGGAGGTATGTTTAGATAAATCAAGATCTCATTGTGTATCACTCAATAACTAATTGTTCTGCAGGAGCACGTTCCTTTGAAGCGAAAGGCTGTAGATCACTTTCTTGATGGTTGTGAGCAGCCCACTCACAAGAGACGTATGGACTGCCTTTCATTGTTGCACTCCCTGGAGGTATGTTTAAATAAATCAAGATCTCATTGTGTATCACTCAATAACTAATTGTTCTGCAGGAGCACGTTCCTTTGAAGCGAAAGGCTGTAGATCACTTTCTTGACGGTTGTGAGCAGCCCACTCACAAGAGACGTACACCTGCCTTCTGGAATGGAAAAAATCAATCTTCACAGGATCCAATCCACTCAGATCTTCGACAGGCCCAGACATTGTCATTTGTACGTGACTTTTCCAAATCCTCAATCCCTAAGAAATGCACTCTGGTCTGCATGTATGTCATCGAAGACCTAAGTGTAGGTCACCCAGTTCATTATTCATATATGTTGTTTAAGTCTCATTGTGTTTCATAGGTCCAGGAAGAAGGTCCTCTAGGCCATTTCTCGAGGACTCATGAAGGGCTCGAACAAATTGCCAGTATCACAAAGCCATATGTAAGAGCCAAAAAGCAAGTGTCAGAGAATTTTCTGGAGCAGGATAAGGAAAGGGCAAAATGCAAAGCCTCTGATGTGCCCAGCAGATCTTCTCCTCCAATGCCTAAGAGGTGCTCTTGGTCCCGCTTGTCTGTAATTGCCGACCAAATCATGAGTGCGCCAGATAACTCATGGCCAAACTTGTCTCATCACATTTTTGACAGGGATTACTTGTAACAGAGGTTTTAACTGTCCAACCACCATCCTCATGTTAGCCATTTCCCAATGAACTTGTTTTAAAGATTCTGGAAGACATGCCAACTCAGGATCTGCGAGTTGTTGCGCAGGTATCTTGTCTCTCTCAGGAGTTAGCCGGTCCTCTTTACCTCCATTACGTAGGCTTATCATTTGATGATACCTCCCTGTGCATCAGCACACAAGCGTGTTTCACCCTTCTCATGTACAGGTGCTCAACTTTATTTCGTGTGCCGAAGTATCTGCGATGCAATCTCCTCGATGCGGATGATCGCCACCTCCAGGCGCTCTCGAGCTTCATAGAGTTATTGGGAAGCAATTCATTGTTATTTGTCTCCATTGTGAAAGATGGCGAGATGCTGGGAGATTTTGCGCCTCTTTTTCAGTCCATCCGAGACTCAGGCTGCAGGAGTCTTCGGTTCTTGGATCAGTGGGGGTCTCACCTTGCATACCCTCTGCTGACTCTTCCTGATTTCATTGCTGCTCCAGATCCTGCCATCACAAATAACTTTCACATTTTTCATGCCAACTCCCCAATATTTTTCTCCCGATCTATGGTCGCACTTACCCTCTCGTCCTTGCGGGGCTCTTCATTGACCGACCTCAGCCTAACTCATACTTCATTGAGCGTTCTCCAGTGGACGGTGTTAATGCATGACATTCACTTCCCACGGCTTCATTTTTTGTCTATCGATGTCGAGTGCCCTGCCACCACGCTCATCGAGTTCTTGACACGGCATGAAGTTCACCAACTCTGGCTTTACAGTATGTGTCCAGAGATCGTTTCTCTTGATGGCATGGACCTTACGCAAAATGTAACCATTCCCCGCATTCCCATACATAGCTTGCACTCTCTCGCTGGACCGCACTAGTACATTTTGTCGCTATTAGACAAGGTTCGTTTGCCTCTACGCATTCAAAACCTCGACTTGGAGCTGGATCACCACTTTCTGACATCCACTCCCAATTACTTATCGGCAATAATCAATATTACCCAACAATTTATCTCCATAGATCACCTGCGACTCAGTTTTTATGACGGATCATTGATTTCCCAAAGTTTTGATGTCTCATTGGACAAGTATCGAACTATCTTTCTACAACACTGGTACAAATATTCAGATCAACACCCTTTGGTGAGCACTTCATATGAGGCCTTTTCACGTTAAGCTAATGTCATTTTAAGGTCAGCTGCAGTCCTTGGCTACAGCTGTTATGACTAGAATAAGTCTTCTCAACACTGGTCCGAGTGGACCATCGTGCGAAGCGTGTCAAGGTCTTCTTACAGGTCGACAGAACATCGAGAGGTCTCTCCGTCTATCTCGGTAAGGGCGGCACCTCATCGAGATGAAGGTCTAGTGAGAATATGGCTAAGGCGCGGGGAGCGACTTAGAAGTGCAGCGAGGTGTTCAATGAAGCAAGTGGATTAGACAAGCTAAAGACCAAGTTCTGGGGATCTACCTAGTAGATTAAAGTAAAGAACTAATACAATAATCTATCTGCTTATATACTGTCTGTACATAAGGGTTCAAGCTCAATCTGTATCTATGGGATCTATGGTATCATGATAAGAGAACATGAGGTCAACCATGAGGATTAGATAAGATACATGAGGCTTAACCTCTGATCAAGCATGAGGCGCCAAGAAGTGCTCCGGATCTACATGAGGCGGCAACAATCAACATGTGCCGATCTAGGGTGACCATGAGGCGTACAGCCTCAGAGGATCAGGTACAAGGCCTTCTAGGCCAGGGGCGGTGTCACAGCAGTCCAGACCGCCTGCTTTCTAAGTGCTGGCGGCGTGCCGCCGCTTTGGGAGTCTAGCAGAGCGGGGGCTCTTGTAGATGTTGCAGATGACTGTAACACAAGCCTTCCAGCACATTGAGAAAGTTTTTCTCAGGCCTGGAGATGTAACAGCATCTGAGCGGCAGGAGTTGGAGGCTGCTTATTGTCGTCCAGAAAATCCTTATTGTTTGGACATTGGCCATTTTGTGTAACATCTATATCTATATCTATGTTGTACCACTCCAGGTGTATTGTCTTCCTCTACTGCTGATGATCCTTATACTCACTCAAATACCCACCTAGTTTACTCTAGAATGTACTGCATCTGAATATACAGAATTTCCAGGCTGAGTTTCATTCACTACATAATTCTCGAAGCTTTGTGTGTGTTTCTCTTTCTGCTTCAATGTTAGATTATTAACATAGCCATGATAGTTGTGAAATAGCAATATACTACAAGGTAGCATCGTGCTTTGGACTACACATCTGCTTGCAGACATACAGCGCTGAAATCCTGAGAACTGTCAGTCATCATGATTGTCCAAACCATGCCCTAGGACTTACCCGGTTCAAAGGTTTCAGCACAATGTTGGTTTCGCCCCATTTCATTGATATTGAGTGGCAAATGCAACTAGTGCCTACTGGAACGATGTCGAGATGCTGGCTGTGGGTAGAACTCCAAAGCTGTGTGCCAAAGTCCCCATACACTTGGAAAGGATCTTGGTGTTCTGCCACTAGAGGTATGTTACGCCGCAATGCAAAATAGTATGTTTGCTGATCTTCCTCCCCTGTGGAAAAAATGTACTTGATCACGCCAGGCACAAATTCTTGAAGCGTCCGCTGGAAGAACACATTTGAGTCTTCATTTGACCAGGTGTGACTGGAGTACTGCACATCCAAAACATTCATGCACTTGTATAAAATAAGACACTTGCTTCTAGCATGAGGACGCCCCTGACATAGGTGAGTTTCTGCTATTTGCCATGCTTTCTCAAGATCATTGGGAACAGGGGTCTTGAGGATGTGGATATCCTGATGAGAACTGGTGTTTTGTCTAACCGTGGATGGAATGTTTATGTTGGTTTTCTCGCCTCCTGTGAATGGGTCACAGCATTGACCCAAAATTTTCGCTGCTTCATTAAGAATGACAGGTCCTGTAGGATTCTGCATCATAGCTTTAATGTTCACAGCCGCACAGAACGTCTCCAACATTGTCTTCTCCAGTTCTCCTGTTATGTCGTTTATACTGTTCATGTCTTTCTCTATTCTTGGAACATATGCTCACCTATCTTGTAGTTCGTGTTTGTTCTTTGCAACGCACCGATGATTCTCTCAAACGGGAACATCCACCAACCATGCATAGGACCATATCTCAAGAGGAACTCATGGATGTGTAGAGCTGCATGATGATTGGGGCGCCACAAATGGTGCGGAAATATCTCTTGGATGCACTCGAGGTACGCCTTCATATACATGGTGTATTGCTGAGCGTGATGAGGTGATGTTACATGTGAAGTTCCCCAGCGGATCACAGTCGCAAGCAGCATTGTGCTGTGAACCAACTTCTGCCTTTGAGATCTGTGCTCCACGCCATCAGCTGCACGTCCTGATCCCCACAAATCCATAAGGGCCACTGGTAAGTCAAATTCAATCGATGATTTCCATTGTTCTGCCTTAAGTTTGCCGTGTTCCGCATCCCCTTGGTTTTTTGGTGGGCCACGGTGCCACGATGGTCTCAGAACCCTTCCTAGCCTTTCCTGAATATTGTTGATCTCCCTATCCACCAAGACTTCAGCTGATCTGCTCAGTTTGGTCGTATGCACTTGTGCAGCGTACTCCTCTATCAATTCATCGGTGACAAACACCTGATCACAAGGACGCAGCTCATTCTCCCCAATATTGACATCCATAGGGGCACATACTGGGAGCGCAGACTTTGGACTCGTCAGATGGTTTGTTATTCCCCCTCAAACCGTTGACTCACTAGTAACGCTCCCATCATATCTTTTTTCCTAGGATGTGTTCTATTGGACAACTCCACCCCATATTCCTGGACCAGTGCTTCCAGGACTGCGACACGCAGGCAGGTCATTGCGGACACGGTAGGGTTTGACATTAAAGTTTGTCTGCCTTTCTCTAATTCTTTCAGATTGACAGGTCTATGGTTGCCCTTCCTGAGCTCCTTGTTCACTTGCTTGTCTATCACGATCAAATCCCTGAAGTGGTGTTGAACCAATCCCAAGAATAGATTATGCATGCCATCGATTACGATTAACCTCGTTGGATCCCAGTATGGCAGCCGTAAAAGTTCTGACCATCTCACCCCATATTGCTTGAATATCTTGTCGCAATTCGCCTTTGTCTCCGCATTTTTCCACTTTTCGGCAGCCGCTTTATGTTCCTCAAGTGTACGTCGCGTCCATCTTTCACAATCAAAGTTTGCGATATTTGACTTCATGAGCCAGCACAATCCACACATTTGGTTTGCAGTTGGGCCCGCGCAGCCTGCTAGTTTACGAGCCGCGGGCAAATCGTTGACTGTGATGGCAATGACAGATTGGGACAGTCTTCCTGTTGCGTGCTTGACTGTCTTTGTGAACCACATCCCGTCTTTCCAAGATGGCAGGAAGAAATCGACTACTGGACAAAGGAAATGATTTATCCCATCGACAGCCAGCTCTCTGGGCCCTGGGATGATGCCGACTAGGTACATATTTTCAGCCTTGTACTGGAGGCTTGGTGGGAGGTTCAGCAGTCCCATTGCGATCGACCCAATAGACTTCTTCTTACCCGAGGTTTTATTCCTGTAAGGGTTGAACCAATCCACCGAGAGACTTCACGCTAACCTGAGATTGGTTCTCTTCAATCCATTGATGAAGGGCTTCCCATCAGAACCCAGAATCTCTCCAATCGCTGTGCCATCCTTGATGTCCCATATCTGCAAATCATTGCTGACCCTCGTTCCTCGGTCCATGGCCTCTTCCATACCAGGACGTCTCAGTAGGCCAGTGAGAAAAGAGTTGAAGTCTTGTACGACGTAGGGGCACACGTGTACGTACAATACTTGACCGCTCTCTTTCATACGTTTCACTAGCAATTGCCCGCATGGCTTGCTTCCACAGTACTTCTTGTAGGAACAGCGCTCAGGGTAACCTGACTTCTTCTTCGTGGCTGGTGACTTTTTCTCTGCATTTGGCGGGTAAGTGCATGAACATCTGGTGCAGGTGGCAAAGGTTTTTTTAACAGCTACCAGATTGAACTTCTTCCATACAGAACGGATATCACGAGGAATGTATCCCTTCGACCTGTCATATCCTTCTGAGGTGTTCCCGAGCGTGGTCTTTAGGAGAAGATTCAAGAGTTCCAGAACTGCATTACACCATGGCCGGGTAACATGGCCCAGGATATTCAAGACCAGTGCGATGAACATGGCGAGGAGTAAGGCAGGCTTAGCATTGCTGAATCTTTTCAAGTGGCAGTCTGCTAACAGTTAAGTGATGTGCTCTGTGTAAGTATGCACTCCTGACCTGTTTCATTAGTCTCTGATGTGTTGTCCTTGTAATTCGGATTCTGTGTGGTCCTATGTGCAATTACATGCATGACACTTTCCGTGGCCTCTTTAGTTTCCTGTAACAACTGGAGATGTGCGTGGCAAAATTGCTCATTACAGGCGTCAGTTCCGACGTTCATGTTCGTCACCTCCCTCAACGTCTTCTCCATCCAGGCATGTTCGTCTGAGAGTGCTGCCAGTGTTTCATCATCGCCGGTCGTATCTAGCTTATCTATGACATTCGTCACTGCACGGACATGGTTGTGGGCTTTGCAGTCGAGAAGATAGAGTATGTGATAGTCTCTCCATGCTTCCTCTTCATGCTGACCTGAATGCTCTCTAGAATTGACATCCTGGTCCATGAGTTTCATCTGTGACATGCCCAGGGCAATACTGTGCACATAGGTATCATCTTTTTCTGCTACATCATCTTCCAAGGTTACCCTGAAAATGTTCCTGGCAAGATTCTCATCAGCAGCAGCCTGTGCCATTGATAGCTTTTTCTCAATGGGCTAGATTCTTGGTGCCAGTTAGTGTTTCATTTAGGATTTGAATAATGAATGCTCACAAAGTAAATCCCAACAAGGGTGCAAGTTGAGATACTGAGAAAGAAAAACAACATGTCGAACACCTTTTTGTAGTGAATGCTGGAGTCGTGATCTTTCAGGTAGTTGTTGTTTTTGCTTTACTGTTTTGTCTCATTGTTGTGCTCCTTGTATTCAACCTTTCATTTTACAGTTTTGAGTTGTCTATGTATTCTCGGTGTTGTACTCCTTGTATTTAACCTTTCACTTTACAGTTTTGAGTTGAATCTATGTATTCTTGGTCTTGTTCTTTTGTTTCCATCGTTGCCATTGTCTGTGTCATGTCACATTTTGACATCATCGAGTAGTAATGTTTGATATATACCCCAAAATACTTTGCTTTTACGTGACCCTTCTTGCACCCATCTAATTTAACCCCCAGCCTGCCCATGCCCAGAGTTTGCTCACACTGGCGATATAATCGCCATTTTGTGCCTCTTACGATGCATTGTAAATTTCCTCCAGAACGCCCACTGGACCCTCCTGTGTTAACACAGCATAAAGTCTTTCCACGAGAAGTCGATTCAATTCCTCCCATAATGCCAGGCTTACCAGCTCCTTTGACATTATTTGCTTCTCTCAACATTCTGAAACCTCGAGGCAAAGTCAGCTGTCTTAACCGAGGAGGCTACAACTTGCAAGAGAAATTAGGGTGGTCATTATCAGAGTACAAAGAAGTTTGCGTATGTGTCTACTATGCTGGGTTTTGTGTGCGTGCCTACTAACACTTACTTTGTAGAGTTTCGTCATCCATTTAGCTCACAAGCACCTTAATGTGCAAAGGTCCTGGAAAATGCAGCTGGTTCCAAAATTGCAATTAGTTTTTTCAGAGGTGAACACTAATTACTCCTCATCTCGAGTTGATGTTTACTTACTTCACCAGGCAAAGAGCCACTATCCTGTTCTCAAAGAATATAAAGATGATTGGGTAGTGTCGGATTTCTTGCGGGTCTATCTTAAAAATAGTAGCACTCGCGCGAACTAGCTGACAGAGAATGTAATCGGAGTATGTCTGTTGATGGCAAACCAAATCTTGGCCTCCCCTCCATTTAGTTTCGTTTCCTAACTTCTATGGTTGAGCCTTTTAATTCAGAACTGAAGCCTCGATTTCATCTTCCAGAAGGGGCAAGGGAAAGAAACCAATCACAGTTGTCTCTGATGCCTTGGGTCTTTGTGGTGGATTAACTCCGTGAACCGTTGGGCGAGTCGGGATTGGCGCTCGCGCCTCTACGTTAATGTAAATAGCATTGATTTTATAGTAAGGTCGTGAGTGCTCCGCTTAAGTGGCCCAAGTGGCCCATAAATATGGTACTGAATGCCCCACCTAGCGGGGCACTTGTATGGTCTAAGTGCAGTTCTAAAATTGTGGCTAAAATAAGGCTCTCGACATATTCATGCACATGTTCAGCATATTTCTTAGCACTTCTCGCACAACATAGTCAATGTCTATTCTGTTGTCAAATGTAGAACAGAGTTAAAATATAGTACATATTTAATCATTTGACATATCTAAAATTTACTATTGTATCTGCACATGAATTACAGACGTAACATCTCCTTTATCTGGCTAAGAATCTAACAATATATCAGCCCATGTCCACATATTTAACATTTTTTACCCACACATATTCACCATTTGATCACAAATATTTGACCACAACTAATGGTGAACATGTTCCAACTCTGGTCTTAGATCTTTAGTGAAAATACAGCCTTGTAAATATCAATAATTTGTCCCTGAATTTGAGTAGGACATGTTGTGGAGGCATATTTGGCTGTGTCTCAGGTGTAGCCAAGCAGTCGATACAACAGAATCTAAATCTGTCTGTGTGGGTTCAGAACCTACCAAATATTAAATAGCCAAGTGATTGCTAGAGTCAAAATCTGTTTCTCTTGGACTGTGCAGGTTTAAAACCTGCCAAGGATAATTTTTATTTTCTATAAAAATGCGCCTTGATATATTCCCATGGTTGGTTTGCTTAAAAGCTCATCAGAGTTGTGTTTGGCCAAATGGTTGTCATAACAGAATCAAAATCTGTTTTCACTGGAACGTAACAGGTTTGAAACCTGTTGAATGTCGCATTTTTTTCTATTAGAACATGCCTTGAATAACATTCACTCATAGACAGCATCCCAAACACTGATCTTCATTAGTCTTAGTCAAGTTGTCATCAGAGTCAAAATCTGTTTCTCTTCGACTTTGTGGGTTTGAAACCTGCCAATGATGACATTTGTATTTCATGAACTCACACCTTGACATTTTCTCATGAATGATGTATGTTTTTTTTGTTTTCTGTCAAAACATGCCTTGACATGGACTCATGTGTACTTTTCTGAGAGCACCATCTCACTGGTGGTGTAATTTCATACAATAAAAATATTATCATTGGCAGGTTTCAGACCTGCACTGTCCAAGAGAAACAGATTTTGACTCTGATGTTCACTTGCAATTTCATCTTTAGCAGGTTTTGAACCCACACAGACAGATTTAGATTCTGTCATATCAACTGCTTGACTAAGACCAGTTAGATGCACTTCCAATAAGCCCATTCAGAAGCAAATCCTCAAGGTACATTTATCTGCATTTTATCAGTTCTAACATTGATTTCTAACATCCCCCTTGAGTCCAATCATATGTGATCCTTCCATTGTCGGTCCTCACTCATGACATAGCTGTTAATCCCAAGACATCACAAACATCATCGGCCCACCATGGTGGTCTGTCATCAGCACTTTTTCAGAGCAATTGCTAGATAAACAGGTCTTGAAGTCAAGAGCCCCAGAAGAATTCTGATATTTTTTGCAATAAGAGTAGAATAAAAGAATCAATCATGGCGACCATACTATTGAAAGAACTGCCTTGAGGATTCACTTTTGAACAGATTCATTGGAAGTGCATTCAACTGGTCTTAGTTAACCAGTCGATACAACAAAATCTAAATCTGTTTGTGTGGATTCAAAACCTGCTAAAGAAGAAATTGTCAAGTGATCATCAGAGTCAAAATCTGTTTCTCTTGGAATGTGCAGGTTTGAAACCTGCCAATGATAAAATTCATTTTCTATCAAAACACACCTTGAAATTTGCTCATAGTCAGTTTGCTTGCAAGGTGATCAAAGTTCAGACATTCATCTTTTTTTTTCATGCAAGCTTGCGCACCTTGCGAATAAGTTGAATTCAATGGTGAGTTTCATTTTCTTGCATGCACTTACCTTGATAAGTGCTAACTTCACTGGTTGAATCTCTTTGTTCAGTGCGATGTGACATGCTCACCCTCATCCAATAACTCAGCCTTTTCAACAAATATGTCTTCATTATATACCTCATATGTCATTCCTGCCTCATCTATCATCCCTGGATCCTCTTCCACCTCCATACTGAGTTCTTCCAGCTCCATCTCAGTACTACCCACTTGGTTGGCTCCTTGTTTCTTCACATTGAACTCGTTGATCAACAATTTCACTACCAGGTTTACCATGTAGAGGAAGCACCTGGTGTGTATCGCTGCTCCACTGAACCCGAGCACTTTATCACTCAGTTTGCAAATTATTGTGTCATTATTGGACACATTATCACATATAATACTCAGCATCTGTGCCCCATGGATTCATTTGCATATAAGTGTGTTTTGTTTTTATGAATCATACCTTTTCTGATATGCCAAATTCTTCTAGCATCTTTGCAAATATCTCTGCAAGCTCTTTGCCAGTGTGGGACTATGAACCTCTTAGCTCACATACACCTACTAGATAGGTAAGTTTTTACCTTCCCGACTTTGACCACATCTAAAAGTACATCCAAAGTACCAAAGTACTTGTCCAATGCAAGTGAAGGTGGTCCAAAGTCAAGAAATGAAGGTCTGATGATGCACAGAGGCTCTGAAGAGCTTGCAACTAAACAGTGAGGTTTCTGAGAGTCAGTATAATGGGTATGTCAAAGTATAAGACTAACGAGAGTACAAAAGTACAACTATGCAAAGCATATTGAAAGACTCAAAGATAGTGAGATGCAAAATGGCAGCGGTCAAACAAAACAAAAGGATCGATTGGGTGAAGTACGACTTATCTGAAAGTGACTCTACTAACTATGACTTATAGCAAGGGAAGGGAAGGAAAGTGAAGTACAAATCAGCTGGTGAGTGAGATTATATACTACAGCATGAAAGTCTGGAATTGTGTAGGCAAGAACAGTAGTGAGATAAGCTATCTGAAATGTAATAAGACTTGAGGCAAGTCGCTACACTGATATCCATGTAATAATGCATGAGGCATGCTGCTATATGCATTATTTGAGGCTCCCTATAGGCCGCCAACATATATGTTCCTATGACATATTTACTCATATGCTAGAGGCTTAGGCGAGCAAGACCCAATATATTGTTCAGTATCCATCAATCTGAATTATTGTACCTACATCGGGTTGCAAATATAATGTGTGGTCAATAGTCCAAGCACAGGAAACAATGTCTGAAGGTATAATTACGAGTCCAATGTTTTTTGGGTTAGTGGATTAATGGGTTTTGGGTTGCGGGAAACAGGTATAGTGAATGTTGGGGAAGTGAGCGGTATGTGGATTAACAATGATGATGGGTATTTCAGATAGAAAGAGCGGTAATATTTGCAATGTCAACTAAGAACTATGAAATATTGGGTTTGACCCCTAAGCATCAGGAAACAGCTCCCTACTACTTGGATGATGAATGATACTCAAAGTCGGTCCAATATATATGTAAATACACATAAATGCAGAAACCTATAGGCAAAAGTAGCAGCAAAATATTTGGATCCAAAGTACATGTAAACAAACACTACATACTCTGGATGATGGGAAAACATGTGATAGAGCTGGCTGCAATATGGGTAATGTGCAAAATAAGAACTATGCACCTAGTGGGGCTAGCAGGATAGGACAGGACATGAGGAGGACAATTGTGCAGGAATATGTTGGATCCGAGTCGGCCTAAATGATGTGTTGATCAGATAAGCATCGAGTTGAGTGGGTAATTGTCGGGTTGTCATCAGAAAATGATTAGCATGCAGCAGACATCTGATGTGTATCGGAAAATAACTGAACACAAGCTCAGCGCAAGGCTGAGTGCTACAGTGCTGTGTCTCTTACTCAAGTAATTACCCTTAATTTCCAGTGGCTGAGAATGAACTCCAGAAGTTCAGTGGATATTCAGAAAACTACAGAAGGACTACTATGGACAAATTCTGGAGTGGAACCAAACAGAGTATGGACTGCCAGAGGTAGAGCTGAAGATGTGAAGTCTTCAGAATCAATCCTAATACTTAAGAGAAAGACAAGAGATGAGACTCAAGTCAGACAGAGACAGGAATGAGCAAGGATCTAAGATGATATTTGAACTGAGGTGTTACAAAGAGTTGGAAAAAATGTGGTGTTCAACAGGTTTTGAACTTGTTGCACTGCAATGGAAACAGATTTTGACTCTGTTATGACAGCCACATGGTTAAACACAACTTTGATTATCTTGCAAGCAAACTGACTATGAGCAAATTTCAAGGTGTGTTTTGATAGAAAATGAATTTTATCATTGGCAGGTTTCAAACCTGCACATTCCAAGAGAAACAGATTTTGACTCTGATGATCACTTGACAATTTCTTCTTTAGCAGGTTTTGAATCCACACAAACAGATTTAGATTTTGTTGTATCGACTGGTTAACTAAGACCAGTTGAATGCACTTCCAATGAATCTGTTCAAAAGTGAATCCTCAAGGCAGTTCTTTCAATAGTATGGTCGCCATGATTGATTCTTTTATTCTACTCTTATTGCAAAAAATATCAGAATTCTTCTGGGGCTCTTGACTTCAAGACCTGTTTATCTAGCAATTGCTCTGAAAAAGTGCTGATGACAGACCACCATGGTGGGCCGATGATGTTTGTGATGTCTTGGGGGACCGACTTCCGTCAGAATACAAGGACTGAAAAGTCCCTTTCTGACGTTGTATTGAACCGTCACTGTTATCCACGGACTACCCGTTTTGGGTACATCTCGATATCTCGGGTTTTATCTGCTTATATACTACCTCACCATCAACATCACCTCCCCATCGCTGTCAACGCTATGCTCCTGCCGCTGCCTATCTGAAGCTACACCAGTTGACCGCACCTCCTCCTACACTGCACATCCACCTGCTTCTTCGTGCTCATGCAGCAGCGCTTCATCATGCCCTATCTCTGCCTCTGTTTCGACGCGGCCGCGATTCAATGTATATTGGGCCCATCGAGGTTCCACCAATGCGGAGAGAACGACGTTGCATGGAAGGACCAAATCGAGGACATCGAAGGTGAGCAAGTTGAGCAGTGATAACTATCTGACTACTCATGTTGACTAGGCCCACGACACCTGATGTGAATGCCGAAGGGGGCAAATCATGATCAGATTCAGAACTGGCGTCAATGCCATGAGTGAACGGTGAGTCTGTGATCAAATTTTAACGTCATTTGTATCCTCATGTGCTCGTTTGTGCAGCCATCATGTCCGGTTCTTCCCGAAGAATTCAAGAAACGTTGCATCTCAGGAATGTGATGCTAGGGCAGCGCTCTGTTTTTGCAACCACCATGTCTGCCCAACCACTTCGGGGAAGTCGCCTCGTCATTCAGACTCTGAACCCTACACTGCTACCTCCAATGGCCCGTGGACCAAGTGGTTCTAGTCGTGTACTCATCAATAACCTTACGACGAGCACTGGTCAGAAGCGCAAACGTGTGCAAACTCTCATCTCGCAGACTTGATCTACTGGTTTAGCAGACTGTCAGCCCATAGAGTTGCCAGTACTTCCCCCTTCAAACGAAGGTGATATCCAGCCAAATGTGTTGGAGCAGCCATGCCTGCTACTGGAGACAACGCCGTCTGATGCACCAGATGATGACCTCGTTTGGAATTCTGCGTTGCTGCACACCAGTGATCTGTACACCCGCACCTTGTACTGGGATGCTTTAGTAGCAGCGGATGCTGTTTTTAGGATTAGTGTGGATCTGTGGGTATTGCAGGATTGGGATGGCGAAGAGGAAGTTCTACAGGTAGGAGAACAAATGCATAGCAGAATTTTTGTACTGACTGGACCTTCTCAGCTTGGATCTTACTTTCATGTGGTCTACCTACCTCGGAGTGACGATGAATATGGGGTTGCGTGTATGTGTCCACGCTGGAAGGCTGCTCATGCCTGTATCCACCAGGACACCCTGTGTTCCTTCATCGACACCTTGCGCTGCCTCCCACTTATTGCTCCATTCCCGGCCCCTCCTGCAGTTTTATTACAGTCGACACCCTTCAATGACAAGTTTATTTTCTCTTGTGCGTCGGCTATGGGTCGCTATGAGTCTGGAAAACGTGTTGTTGTTACGTTGCAGCAAGATGGCCGTTGGCATTGCCATTCGTGTCGCTACTCAGATGCTTGCAAGCACAAGCCACATGCGAAAGCTTTTGCATTGGAAGCCGGACTTATGGTGAACATGCAGGATGGTCATCAAATGGGTGCGACGGATGATGCAGCTGGTGATGAGGAGAGCGCTGTCCTTGTTCGTGCGGCACAATGTGGAGTTAACTTGGCAAAGCATCGTGCTATCTCATATCTCCCCATTCCTCCTCCGCGATGGTGTGCTCTACCTGCTGAACGAGCTACCCTTCCTCTCCGACAAGTGTCGACCAACTCTCACTTCGCAGTTGAAGATTCATTGCAGTGTGTCTGTGGGTTATCGATGCCACAAGCAGTCCTCCAAGGCCATTCTGGTCCTCGAGTGTTAAAGACAGCTGTGTTATATGGACTTACTGCCCGACGAACAGTGTCAATTGAGTTGCTCCCTTGTCCAGTCTGTTGCCATTCTCGTCGTCACATCGGCCCTGATCTCAGAGACCATGGTATATTCAACTGGAACAACACAATGTTATTTTTGCACAAGCTGTTGAATGCATACACGAATTCATACACTGCATCGGAGACACCATTCTCTGCATTTTGTTTGACTGTGTGACGTTCCTATCAAGATGCTGGAGATGAAAATAGCTTTTGTTCAGATGACACCTTTGTTCGAGTCTGGTTTGCCTTCACTCGACGACAGTGTCTTGACAGTGGTATGCAATGCCCTACATGTGGCTCATCTCCTGACATTGTAATTGCGGACGGAGTCAGTCTGGGAACTCATGTATCCAAATTGACGAAGTCCATCTCACCACCAACCTCTGTTGATGAGAGGAGTGAGCGGGTGGACTCCATATCATCATATCGTGCTCGATGCCTTCCAGCTATCCCTCAGAAGGACATTCGTACCACGGTGAACAAAATTTTAGATGCTACAGTCACACATATTCCTAATATCCTGCCGGACATGTCAAAGATCGACGTGCAATACCCAGAATTGTCATCTTTCATCCGCCTCTATTGTTCAAATGGCACAAACAGCCCATATTATCGGACTTATCGAGATCTCATTCAACAAATTGCTGCACCTGATATCGTATTGCAGCTAATACCAGTGGCAGCAATTGAGCCATTGCAACAACTGAGAGAACGAGGGAACCCACCAAACTGGTTACAGAGTATATGTCCAGCGTTCGGAGCTGTCATCAATGCACATGTGAATGGGCAATGTCCCATCCCAAATGACATCCGAAATATTGCAGGTTGGCTTGCAGCTCGTGCGGATGATGTTTACACTCGTTTAGCACAACATGAACCTAGTCCCATGCTTCAGCCCACATCTGAGCCATGGGAGAAAACAGGGACGTGCTATGGCTTACCAGAGATACGGAAACGACGTATATACTCAAAACTTCGGTATGACAACCAAGGACTTGATCGGGATGCAGAAGAAATGGGTGACTGCAACAAGTTTTACAAAACCTACTCCAAAAACAATCTCACTGGCGGCATTCTCGTACTTTGTTGCACACATTCTGTCTGTCTCGGCTTTCACTCTATCCCAGTTGCAGAAGGCCGAAATGATGTCTTTTCTGCAATCTACACCCGATTTCTGGTTGCACCAAAAGTCATAATTTATGACTTTGCTTGTCAACTTGCACCATACAGCTTCGTTCGTGAAGCCCGCTATTTCCAGCACACACGGTTCCTTATTGATGAAATGCATGCTCATGATCACACTCGTTGTGGTAAAGCATGTTTTGCAAGCAATGCTATGCGATTTGATGATCGTGTTCGTGCTGTAAACACCAGTACAGCTGAATGCGGGAATAAAGGTATCAAGAGGATACGCAAAAGTGTCAGTTTCATGATTCACGATCATGCAGTACAGTACACCAAAGTTTTTCTTGATATCTGGAATTGGAACACGATCAATAGGATATATACCATGCATGCTAAGTAGATTTATTGCCTGTTGTGATTAGCCAGTCATAAATGTATGTACGTAGTAGCCAATTAAGTGATTGCAGTAGAAGTTGCAAGTAATGTATATGTAGATGTCCATTGACATCGTCTCGTTAAAACCTTAAATATTATATGCACTAAGTTCAAGTTGCTGGGTAAGTGATGCAAGCTGAGCTTCGACTGCCTGACAACGTTGCTGCTCAGCCAAAAGCTCATGACTATGAGCCTCCTGAAGATTTTGGAGCTCATTCATGACTTGGTGCTTCTCAGCCTGTGCCTGATGAACCTCTGCATTGATCGCAATAATGTCCTTGCTGCTCAGTACTTGTTTACGAACATATGCCATTGCCGTCTCATGAATGTCCATGATGGGACGGTGATCTCCCTTCGCATCAAAAGCTGCCTGTAAGGCAGGAGATATATGGATCACAGATTTTCCGTTCTTCGATAAGATAGATTCTGGTCTATAGAATGGCAATAGTAAGTAAATATGAAGGAAGAACAAAAGCACTCGTACCTTGCAATATATAGGAAAATGAAAGGTCTTGACACTTTGTCCAGATCCTTGACCTAGTAGGAATGATCACCAATGTTGAATGAAAGACATAGCATTCAAAACATACCACACGCACGAGTCTACTTGCTCGTTCACTATGAGCTTTGGTCCTATTACGATCATTTGCAATATACAACACTGGCAAATAGTCAGAGTCAGTACCATTCAGCGGTCAGCACAAAAGAACATGTTACCTGAGCGACGTCGTTTCTTATTCAGCCGCTTGCCTTCAGTTTGCACCCGCATGCCTTCAGCAGTGTTATTCCGATACTGCAAAGGAGGAGCAACGTCCCCTGCAACATCATGAACAAGTGTGAAGTCAGACGAGCGATATTGACCATCAACAATCTGATCTGGCTCATCTGCGCGGCAACTAGCAGGAATCAAGACATCACTATCAACAGCACTAGCACTCGGCTCCAGCGTGACATCAGTACCATGCACATTGGTATCCTCGCTGCTCGACTCAGCAGTCACACAAGTGTTCATATCTCCGCTGTTCATCTCCAGAGTTACACCAGTACCTTCAAGCATATCAAGTTCACCTCCGTCATCACTGAGATGCCCATCCATCATACCCTGCATTGAACCAGCAACCAGCATTCAGGAGGTCTTCATGCACAGTACACATGAGAAATGAGTTGAGAAACAGACATAGCACGACAGACCTTCCAATGGATACCAGCCAGGAGGTCCTGACACTTTATCTGGCTCCTGCGTCTCAGCAGAGTAGCCCTCGAGAAAACGAAGAAAATCAGTAAAGTTAATGTCGCCATCATTTGACTCAGAGTTGGCAGGTTCTACCCCATCATCAGAGGGTGTCGCAGACGAGCTAGCTGCTGTATCAATAGCATCAAAGATGGGCAACTGAAAGGCATGTGAGTCGATCAATTCAACATCACAAAACATTGCCATCACTTACTGTGAGCAATGGCCCAGGGACAGAAACGTTCACTGTATCTACAGATGATATCACATGTGTCGGATCCCCAGGGGGGCTGCTCACATAAGACCGAGTCTTCTATCAAGCAAAGTCAATGATTATAGAAAAGAAAGCTACAAAAATCCACCTGTCGCTTGGATGGCCTAGCACTATCATCCAGTATGTGTATGGGTTGAGCTTGAGATGCTTTGCGAAAAGGGCACTTGTGACCCTTCAAAGGAGGTGGTTGACCAGAGTCGTCAATACATCCTTTCCTGCATTTGGGGGCTATATTAAGGTCAGAATCAGCGTGTTATAAATGAGTCTGTGGGTACGTACACATACTAGTACTTGCACCAACTTGAAGTGGAGGTGGGTGTGCAAGGTGGGAGAGCACGTCAAGGTCTGACTCAAGGATAAGAAGTAGGCTAGATTCAGGAGGTGGGAGAAGACGGACTGTGGGAGGCAGGAGATTGTTGATGAAGACGAGGTGCAGCAGGTGGGATATTATCAAAGATGGCGAGCCACGGGAGGCAGGAGATTGTCGACAAAGACGAGGTGCAGCAGGTGGGAGATTATCAAAGACAGTGAGCCGCAGGAGGCAGGAGATTGTCGACGAAGACGAGGTGCAGCAGGTGGGAGATTATCGAAGAATTGATGAAGACAAGGCACAGCAGGTAGCAGAGTGCGTCGCAGAAGACAAGTGGGACAAGCTGGAAGAGGTTGTGCACGAGGGGCAGATACTATCCAAGGGAGACCCGTGCAAGAGAGTGTCAGAGGCAAAACCTGCTCATCGTGCTCACCGGCGAGCACAGTAGCAGCGTTTCAAGTGTCAAATGGGAAATGAACGCTTAATGAGAAGTATGAGAGGGTATAAGAAGGTTTCGAAACGGAAACTCCCGTTGTTTCCCGATTCGGTGATCCTGGTAAAACACGGACAGGTCAATCCTTGTCAAACGCGGTGTTATCAGTCTTGGTACTTCCATCAGCGGTTATCCCTGTCTTGGGATTAACAGCTATGTCATGAGTGAGGACCGACAATGGAAGGATCACATATGATTGGACTCAAGGGGGATGTTAGAAATCAATGTTAGAACTGATAAAATGCAGATAAATGTACCTTGAGGATTTGCTTCTGAATGGGCTTATTGGAAGTGCATCTAACTGGTCTTAGTCAAGCAGTTGATATGACAGAATCTAAATCTGTCTGTGTGGGTTCAAAACCTGCTAAAGATGAAATTGCAAGTGAACATCAGAGTCAAAATCTGTGTCTCTTGCACTGTGCAGGTTTGAAACCTGCCACTGAGTGATAAAATTTATTTTACAAAACACACCTTGAAGTCTGCTTATGGTCGGTTTGCTTGCAAGCTGATCACAGTCATGTTTAGCTAAGTGGCTGTCATAACAGAATCAAAATCTATTTCCATCAGAGTGTAACAAGTTTGAAACTTGTTGAATGTTGCATTTTTTTTCTAAGAATGTGTGTCTTGAATATTTGCTCATAAACACCATCTCAGACAGTTATTTTCATTGGTCTTAGAGATGAACCTGAGCACGCGCCAGACACATAGTGTACAACCACTTCCCACATATCACCTGACACTCTACTTGTATATTCCACTCTCCATATCATACAACAAAACAAAGGTGTATTGGCGCCAATAAGCAATTCTAATCTAAAGTATGCTAACCAATGTCATCTACTCCCCAAGCTCCTTCTCCCATGACCCCCAATTGTGTGACAGCAAGTAAAGGTGGTTGCTCATATGGAGCAACTCTGATTCTTGTGTCCAGGAGTGCTGATCATCAATCAGTGTTCTTGAGCCAGAGCTGCGCAGCTTTGGTGTGTGCTTTGTCCAACTGGGCCTCAATGTTGAGGCAAGGACACTTAGGCTTGGGTGTAGGATGAGAAGCAAGCAGCCTCTTCATGCACTGGACCACAATAGTCCTAGGACCGTCAGCAACCTTTCCACCAGTAGTCCTATCTACACAATGTCAGACGCACTAGCTTTTGACATGTTTTGAGATCAATGCCGATGTCTGTAAAGCATAAAATGCTTAGAACTGTGAGGTAGTAAGTTTTATGCAACATTGTCAAATTGCAGCATGTATTCACGGTACATCCTGATGCCAATAGTCTTGTATACATATTGGCTTAATTTGTAATGATATGATCAGAGATGGGATTAGTGTTGGTATCGGATAAGCTTGTCTAAGAGGCATCCCTGCGCACTTTGTCAGTTTATAGTTTTTCAATAATGTGATAGCTTACCCTGCACATTGCCAATGCATCTCCATCTCCATTGATCATCGCAAGCTTCCTCATGTAAATATGCGGCAGTCATGTATGTATGAACTAGTACTATGTAATTGTAGATGGCGACCAAGATGATTCATAAGTAGTAGGTGGTTGGCATGCATTGTGAGGGTATGATTGGGTTATGGAATGTGATTGGCAAGTATCAGCCAGTATAATATTCATCCCTGCACACTATTTAGTTTAAAATGTTCTACATGAACCAATGACTTACCCTTCACAATGCTGATTTTAGGTGTTGGATTAGATGAGCGCAAGCCGTGGCACTGTTACACATCAACCGCCTTAGCAGGCACAATGTTGTGGGGTTAGGGGCCTTGAGTTTGTAAATCAGGACCTGCATGAGTGACGTAGTACTGAATACATTACTACTGTGACTTTTGCTGCGAGGTATTCAAGTTGTGTCTGTGAAATTGGGTGTATTGTGGAGATGAGATTCACGTGCGATAAACTTATGATATTGTTTACATTGATGCCAATGTGAGGTAAATTCAAAATGCAAGACATGTTTTTGGTCTGACATTTAGATACAGATGGGTATGTTTAAACATCCTTGCATCAAGGTCAGGAAAGCTTGTTTGTTTGGTAACTCTGCACTGTTGGAAGTCACTGGGGTTGTCATCAGGATGAGGGAGAAGTATGACACATCTATAAAAAAAGTTTAAGACACAATAATATACTAAAAGGCCAATAAATATATGCACACACACGACTGACTGAACACATACACATTTGCATTTTGGTTCTTGGAAAGTGCAATAATAATGGCTGAGTTCTGTAAGCAAGGGCATTAGCAGCTTTGCGTACTTGCTTGTTATTACAACCACTGGGCCAAACACAACTTTGATCAGCTTGCAAGCAAACTAACCATAAGCATATGTCAAGGTGTGCTTTCATAGAATAAAAATAAAAATGTTATCATCGGCAGGTTTCAGACCTGCACTATTCAAAAGAAACAAATTTTGACTCTAGTGATCACTTGGCAAGTTCATCTTGAGCAGGTTTGAACCCATACAGACAGATTTAGATTCTGTTGTATCAACTGCTTGGCTAAGACCAGTTAGATTCACTTCCAATGAACCCAATGATTCAGAAGTGAGTCCTTGGGTACATTTATCTGCATTTTGTCAGTTATTTCAATAGCATGATTACTGTTGATTCGTTTATAATGCTCTTATTGCAAAAGACACAGACTCCTGCTGAGGCTCTTAACTTCAAGAGCTGTTTATCTAACAATTGCCCTGAAAAAGTGCTGATGGCAGACCCCCACGGTGGGCCCATGAGTGAAAACTGACAATGGAAGGTTCACAGAGTTCAATATATGACCAAAGTCTTGATGCAAACTCGGAAGGATAAGTATAAGAACAATATAATTCTTCTAAAGGTCTTGATTTGGTTGAAGAAGAAGAAGGAGAAGAAGAGCAGATTATACATCAAACTTTCAATTTTGATCCTAATAACCTGGGGAATGAGGAAAAATACAAATCTGTCTATTAAGGCTGAGATTCTTTATCGTGCTCGTTCAAGTGGTTGCCAGAGTCAAAATATTTTCTCTTGAACTAAGCAGGTTGTGTAATTTGTGTAAAGATGTGTGTTTTGCATTAACTCATGATTCATTATGTTCCACCATTTTGGATTTCATAGAAAAAAATATGTTATTGGCAGGTTTCAAACCTACACTGTTATGCTGACCGTCGGTCGGCGTGTGCGAACTAGGATAGGTCTTCTCAGCGACGACTCGAGTGAGTCTACTGAAGCTGAGCGTGGTTCTAGGCTTGACGGAACATCAAGAGTTCTCCGGCAATCTCGGTAAGATGGCGCTCGTCGAGATGCAGGGCTAGCGGATACGTGCTAAGTCGTAAGGGGCAACTTAGAAGTGCGGTCTCACACAAGGAAGCTGGTAAGGCTTAGATGAGCAAGTTCTGGGGATGAACCTAGTAGATTAAAGTAAAGTCTAAGTACAATAATCCTGTCTACTTATAGGGAAGTACTACAAGTATTCTAGCTCAGTCTGTAATCAATAGTATATCTATGATCTATGATAACAAGACATGAGGTTCAGATAAGTACATGAGGCTTAACCTCTGATCAAGCATGCTGCGCCAAGGGCAGCTGCGCATAGGTACAGGAAGCGCCAGAGCGCTCCGGATCTTCGTGAAGCGACATGCAGCATGCATGCACTTTGATCTAGGGTGACCATGAGGCGTACAGCCTCCATGGATCAGGTACAAGGCCGTCTAGGCCAGGGGCGGGTCATAGCGCCAGGGCGGGGTCACAGCGGTCCAGACCGCTATCTTTCTAGGCACGGGCGGCGCACTGCCGCGTGGGGGTCTAGCAGAGCGGGGGCAGGCGTAGGCAGAGCTGGGGCTTCTGTAGGTGTTACGGATGCCTGTAACATACACAGTTGAAGACAAACAGATTTTGAATCTGGTGACAACTTGACCAAGACCAATGAATCAATGCATGAGATGCTGTCTATAAGCAGATATTCGAGACACACATTCTTAGAGAAAAATGCAACATTCAACAAGTTCAAACTTGTTGTACTTTGATGGAAACAGATTTTGATTCTGTTATGACAGCCACTTAGCTAAATACAACTATGATCAGCTTGCAAGCAAACCACCATGAGCAAATTTCAAGGTGTGTTTTCATAGAAAATGAATTTCATTGCTGGCAGGTTTCAAACCTGCACATTCCAAGAGAAACAGATTTTGACTCTAATGATCACTTGGCAAATTCATCTTGAGCAGGTTTTGAACCCACACAGACAGATTTAGATTCTGTTGTATCAACTATTGGCTAAGACCAGTTGGATGCACTTTCAATAAATTCATTCAGAAGTGAATCTCAAGGCACATTTCTGTATCTTATCAGTTCTTTCAATAGCATGATCGCCATTAATGGTATTTTAAACTTGATTAATATCACTGTTGGATTTATGCACAAATAAGAAACTTTTTTTACTAAAAACTTACTAGAGGCAAATGCAGTATTCTTGATGCAAACTTGGAAGGATGAGTACAATAACAATAACAATTTAATTCTTTCCAAAGGTCTCAACTTAACATCAAACTTTCAAGTTTGATCCCAATGACCTGGGAAAGGCTGAGATTCTAGTCCAAAATGGATGGAGACCATATCATAAGAGCATCAATTTACTGGATGCTGAGCTGATATTTGTGTAACATGAGAAGCCTCTAAATCTGAATCTAAATGTGTGTGGCTGAACCAACAATTACTTTAAGGTAATCAAAGCTCGATCATTGTTTTATCAGTGATCTGATGTTACTGATTTAGATCTAATGATCTCCCCACTGCATGCTCACCACCCAAGCCTTTTGCATTAAAAAGATCAAACAACACAAAAATATATCATTTGACGGGTTTTAAACCTGTAGGCCTTGATTAGAACAGATTTTGAATTCATTGTGGTGAAATTCATGGCTAAGACCATTTCAGATGAGTTTTTGAGAAAACTATTCATGAGAAATGTCAAGGTATGATTTTAGAATAAAAATGTTTATCATCGCAGGTTTAAACCCACAAAGTCCAAGAGAAACAGATTTGACTCTGGTGACACTTGACTAAGACCAATGAAGATCAATGTCTCAATACTATTATTAGAAAATTCAGGGATTTCTTATAGAAAAAATGTGACATTCAATGGGTTTCAAACCTGTTGCACTTCAATAGACAACAGATTTTGATTCTATTATACAACCGCTTTGCTAGACACAACTCGATTATCTTGCAAGCAAACTGACCATGAGCATGTGTCAAGGTGCATTTTCATAAAAAATGAATTTCATCATTGGCAGGTTTCAAACCGCACAGTCCAAAAAACAGATTTTGACTCTGATAATGCTTGGCAATTTCATTTTTAGCAGGTTTTGAACCTGCATAGACAATTTAGATTCTGTTGTATCAACTACTTGACTAAGACCAGTTATATGCACTCCCAATGAACTCATTCAGAAGCGACTTACATACTTTTGTGAGCAAATATTCAAGCATGTTCTGATTGTGTAATCTGCTCTTCTTCAACCAATTCAAGACCTTTGGAGAGAATTAAATTGCTCTCATACTTATCATTCCACGTTTGCATCAAGACTTTAGTCATATATTGAACTTTGTGTCAAATATACTTGCATTTGCCTCTAGTAATGTTTTAGAGCAAAAAGCAGATAAAAGAATCAACAGTGACCATGCTATTGAAAGTACTGACAAAATGCAGATAAAATGTGCCTTGAGGATTCACTTCTGAATGAGTCAATTGGAAGTGAATCTCACTGGTCTTGGCCAAGCGCTGGTGCATGTTCATTTTCTCTCTGGTTTGACCAAATGATAGCAAGGCTTATTACATGTATCTGCATATTCTGTTCCATGCATAGTTCATTACATATTACCTATCTGCCTCATTTTCATCGCTACAGTTCTCACCTACAGGTTCCAGATATTCACACAGTAGGATAAAAACCTTGTGTGCTACATACAGTAGGACACTTCCCTTCCCTCAGATGCTACCTTTGTTTTGCGGAGTCACCTTAGTACTTTGTTCAAATTGACAAGCTTTGTTCATTCTCACTCTGCAGCGTATTCTTGACTGCTCTCAGGACGTGCCTCCAAGTTTTCCTCACCTAGGCTCTGCACAGATCCAAACCACTCTTGTGTTCCAACTTAGCACTTTTTATCTAGTCATACCTCGGCCGTAAACTTTGTCTATACCTAGCCACTACTTGCAGAACCACACTTTACCTAGAACCTGCTGCTCTTTACCTAGGATCCTTTTGCTTTCATTTTTTTTACATCGCGCTCCACCGGACACATGGTCTGCTTTCACTCTCATTGGTGGACTCGCATTTCCAGGATCGCTTTAGTTCTTTCCATTCCGCTGTAGGACTTGTAGTCCTTGTAGCCTCATAGAGGCTATTTTTGCAGTGTCCCTCAGGTCCTAGCGCAGCGCGTGCTATCACTACCACAGCGCGCACCTTGTCCTTCCTCCGTCCTATCCATGTCCTCCGCTGGTCCATTGGTGCGTATTTTATCTCATTTGCGTTAGACTGATTATATTTCCGAAGGTGATATCACATATGTCTCGTATTGCATTATAGACCCTTAATGTATTACTGTTATCTTCTCGGTTCCGAACAGCGCT